GCATATTTTAATGCTATCATATTGCAAGGAAATGTTTGCATAGTCTTTGACTGCATTAGTTGAAGAAATCCTCAGTGAGTTACACAGCCTGCACAGCTTTGCAAGTGAGAGGCTTGTCAGTAACACTTAAAATCAGACAGTATCTAGGACATTAAATATAATGTCAATAAATAGTTTGTGTGTTTATGTTAGTGTAGGCTAACGCATGACGTAGGTGATATTTCTAATAAAAGAGAAGTTGTAAACCTCAAATTTTATTAATGAACAAGCTGTAAAGCTGAGTGGGCTATGCAAGAGAGCTCACTTGTAATGGAAGTTCTTCATAATCTCATTTCACAGAGGCTTCAACCCACTGCTTAGTTCTTTCTGTACCCACATCTCATATAGTATAATGGATTTAGAAAAAGGAAATAATGGTATTTTTTCTTAGAGCACAGGGCATAGTTCTTCATTTAAGTTACTAAAAAATGAGGTTTTACAGTGTGGACTGTAAATTTAGCTAATAATCTCTTAAGAAAAATAGGGGAGAGAAAATGGGTGGCCAGAGACGGTGTACTAGAAGAGGTGTTGCCAAAGTCTAAGTTCTTCCTGAGAAACTCAGAGAACATTTCACGTTTACTTGAAGGAATATGTATGATAAACATTCAAGTTAAATTTTAATCACAGAATCACAGAATTGTAGGGGTTGGAAGGGACCTCCAGAGATCATCGAGTCCAACCCCCCTGCCAAAGCAGGTTCCCTACAGCAGGTAGCACAGGTAGGCATCCAGGCAGGTCTTGAACATCTCCAGAGAAGGAGACTCCACCACCTCCCTGGGCAGCCTGTTCCAGTGCTCTGTCGCCTCACTGTAAAGAAGTTCTTGCGCATGTTTGTGCAGAACTTCCTATGCTGCAGTTTCCAGCCGTTTCCCCTTGTCCTGTCTCCACTCACCACTGAAAAGAGTCCGGCCTCGCCATTCTGCCCCCCACACCTTAGATATTTATAGACCTGGATCAGGTCCCCTCTCAGTCTCCTTTTCTCAAGACTGAACAGACCCAGTTCACTCAGCCTTTCTTCATAGGAGAGATGCTCCAGGCCCTTCACCATCTTCGTGGCCCTCCGCTGGACTCTTTCCAAGAGATCCCTGTCTTTTTTGTACTGGGGAGCCCAGAACTGGACGCAGTACTGCAGATGAGGCCTTACCAGGGCAGAGTAGAGGGGGAGGATCACCTCCTTTGACCTGCTGGCCACGCTCCTTCTAATGCACCCCAGTAAGCCATTGGCCTTTTTGGCCACAAGGGCACACTGCTGGCTCATGGCCAACCTGTCGTCCACCAGGACACCCAGGTCCCTTTCCATTAATCAATTATAATTTGCCAATTCAGTAATCAAAAAAGTCAAACTGTAAGGGGGACATTTAAAAATCCTTTGAAAAGTTAATCAGAAGGATTTTACTTAAAACCTAGTAAGGTGCTCTATTCTACCTTGATTACAAGAACAGATGACATCGTCATCACAACTACAGTCTAATGTTTCATTAACATTTGAAGAGCTGTTTGATTTGTTTTGTTTAGATTTTTATTTCTGTGCAGTAGAAATTACACTAAATAAGTTAACTGTGTGTTTTTAATGTAGTGTAAAAATAAGAGAGAAGAGCCAGGCATTCTTAGGTCTATGCAATAATTCACTTACTAAATATAGCATTCAGGATTTTAGCTGATTCTCTCTGGTTTTAGTGGACAGAGTCTCTCGCTGCATGTCCCTTCCTCTGCCTTCTTTTATCCATTCCTGTGGGGAAGTGGAACCAATCTAAACAGCTTTATGCTGTTTTTCTTGATCAGCTTTTAAGAAAATGATCTCATAGTGTATCATTCCCTCCTGTGCCTTGCACATTTAAAGTGACCTTACACAATCAGAATAAAAAAACTCTTTTTTTCTTCTCCTGGAATGCTGACAGATTGCTTTCCTTGTACTGAATATTTTCTCTGTGGTGGTTTTGGATCATTAGCAAAAACATAGTTTGCATTTCCTTTAAGTTGGTTGGTGCTTGCTTGAATCCCTTGTAACGATGAGCTATCAGCAGTGTGGCCTTTCTGCAGTGACCCAGAAGGAGAAGTAATTTTACCTTATTTCCACAACAGAGAGCTGTTAATATCACCAGCATCTCTAGCATTAGTTGGTTAGCTGAATGGATTCTGTCTAGCCTTGCCCCTGCAGGGAAGAAAGCAGAACACAGAAGATATGCCCAAAGATAGTGGGCAAACCCCTTGATATATGTATTTTGACAGCTGTCCGTATTCAGGTGAGTATCAATAAAGAGAAGAATAGTCTCGTGTCCTGCTTGTGGCAGGTGTGATTGAGATGATTGTCGTCACGGATTTGCAGATTACTGAGGTGAAATAGTCTTTAAACTTCTTGGTTTGTTTTCACGCCAAAACACAGTATTTGAGGTGCAGTCTCACTAGCTGTGTACAAGGGCACTGTCACTTCCTAGTCTTGTTAGCCTTACTATTTCTGATGCAGGCCAGGATGCCATTGGCCTTCTTGGCCACCTGGCCACACTGCTGGCTCATGTTCAGCAGCTGTCAGCTAACACCCTCAGGCCCTTTTCTGCTGGGCACCCATACTGCTGTGGTTATGACCCACATGTAGCACTCAGCACCGAGCCTCATTGGATGCCGTGAGGCCAGACTGAACTCCATTCACTGTGACTGAGCCCAGCCATCAGCCAGATGAACTCACAGAACTGTAGGTCTGTCCAAACCAGGAGAATATTGTGGGCAGCAATATGAAACGTGTTACTAAAATTGAAGTATCCATAGTCTTTACCTCATCTAAGTGTCATAGAGGAAGATCAGGTTAGTCAGGCAGGACCATCATCAACCCGTGCTGGCTTCACAACATTTGTTTGTCTTATCTATACTGAGTGATGGCACTCCAGATGACCTTCTCAATTACCTTCTCTGGTACCAAGGTCAGACCAATAGGCCTGTAATTCCTGGAGTTTTGTCTACACCCACTTGTCTAAACTTGAAACGCTCTTGCTGATTCTGTCTGAAATATCCATGCTACCCTAAGAGCCTCCAGTGTGTGCGGGTTTGAGTTGTTCAGGTGTGCTGGCAGTGTGCCGCCTGCTTTGTGTGGAGACCATTTCCAGAAGACATGGTTATGCATGTCCATTCCATTTGAAGTTTTGTCCTGAAGTTGCTGGGGTAATTTAACATTGCCTTAAATAAAAGAAGTATTCTGGTCTATTATGTTTTCTTTTGCATTTGAATTAAGTAATTCTGGTGAAGAGGCATGTTGCACTTTTAGAGAAACATAGCTTCTTTCCTGCCAGTCTAGGATTGAATTGTTTAATCAGGGTTGTCTGCACTTGAAGAAGTACTTGATGGTGAAGAAAGGATCCTTGGAAAAATGACAGGAGGTGTCACACTAGAAAAATTCCCGCAAGGAAGTGAGTCATTAACGTAGGGTAGTGCTTTGCAGCATCATTGTCATGGGTGAGGGGACTGCCTGCACCTGCACAGAGCTGTGAGCTGGTATGAATGTTTGAGTTTCAGGTTGAGTGGACTCTGAATCTGATGTGAGTAACTCAAGGGGAGTATGCAAAAGTGTGCATCTGCATGCTTTCAGTAGATAAGACTGGTCCAAATAGCACTTTGGTGATGGGTTAGAAATAGCCCTGCCAGTAACAAGTTCATTTATTAAGCTAGAATTGATGATTGCTTCAGTTTTTCTGTACAGCAAGCAGTCATTTGAGGTTTGCTCATGTTGGTTCTTGGTCATGGTAGAGACTATTTTCACAGCTTGTTTCTGCAGACCTCCGCAATTGTTTGCCAGTTACAGTGGAACTTTTACTTCTTACTGTTCTTGTTGTCTCCCTGATAGTAAGTTACAGTTCTTTAGATGTTTTCTGTTCTTCTTACGCAGTTCTTACCCGGTTGCAGATTACTGTGGGAAGTTGGTAAAGATTGAAAATAAATTTCTAAGCAATGGGACTGAGAAGTTTTCTTAAAGTGAAATCTCTTTACATCAACTGTGTAGGACTGGAGTCAATGTAAATATACTCTTCATCAAATATGTAATAAATATTGCTGTATGCGTGAATGCTAGCAAATAACAGTTATTTAAATCTAGATATCTAGTTAGGGGTAAAAAGAGAATGCAAAAGTCTGTATAGATAAATATTTAAAAATGTAAAAGTCCATTCAGTGGTGATCAGAATCTCATGCTTACTCTAAAAGATTTCCACAAGGATTTTTCTTCAAGTAGTGGTTTTGCCAGCAACCTCAAGATCTTGATTCGGGTTGTTGTTTTTTTGTTTGTTTTATTGTAATTTTTTTTAATAACTGTGACACTCAGTTGCCAGAAGTGCCAGTGTTCTCAGAGAGAGTAGAAGCCATTTTGTAGATCTTTTTTTTTCTCATTTGTGTAAAAGGCTCCTTAGGTCCCTAATCTGTACTGAGTTTTCATTTACTGAAGTTTGAAACGTGCTCTAGTTTTCAAGTTTGCTTGAGTAGAAGTAACACAGAATGTATTGATTCAGTTTTTAGGAACTTAAGAATGCAGTGTCATCAAGTGCTCTGGAGACACACAAGAATATTTTAAAATATATTGCTAGGTGTTTAGTTTATGTATTGATTACATGTATGTTTTAAGCTAAAGAAACATTGGGTAACCTGGAAAAATATGGCTTTGAAAGAAGTTGGTTGGTTGTATGTTTCTCATCACACTGTATATTGACTTTTGCAACCTTTTTCGCTGCAGTCAAGATAAAACTTGAGGGAGACTGAAAACAAAGGTTTGACTTATTTGTTCTTGCTGTGACACTGTGGGTCTTTTCCTGTTACATGCCTCATTGCTGACTGCATTGTTTAACTGTGCTTCATCATGTTATAGTCATATTTTATGGTAAATAGGGAATATCTTTTGCTCTTGGTTTTTGGTTTTGGTTTGGTTTTTTTTGGTTGGTTGGTATTCTCAAATTTTTCCTTTTATTTTTTTTTAACTCTTTCAGAATTCACCACTCTACGAGTATCTGCAGGATTTGGGACACACTGATTTTGAAGTATGTTCACCTGTGTCACAGAAGGCAAAGCAATGTGCAGTAGAGGAAGGCCAGAGAGAGAGGACTGTGCACACTGCCCAGAAAGTGAGTGTTCTCCTTTTTCTTAATATTTATCCTCCCAAAGAGAGCCACATTACTTCACAGATAGGCATAATTGGAGAGGATAAAGATGGAATTCTTACTGTAATAATTAGAAAGAAAAGTTAGTAGTAACAGTTTTCATGTGTTGTCTGCAAATATGTTTAGGAATATCTGATCTGCCATTATATTTTGAGGTGTTCTTTGCTTTTATGTGAATTAGGGAAGAAAAATGCTTTGATAGTAACTTCTGTAAGAGTTGTAAATGACATTATTTACTGGATACTATTACTGTGGCTTGGCATGATATTCTATGAATAACACCTGCGATTTTCTGGAACAAAATGTTTATAAGTCCCAACCCTTCTCAATCATTCAGTTCCTAAATGTCACCTCTTATGTAACAAAATACTAAGAAAGAGGATTTCTGGGAAGTAGAAATACCAGAGCCAATCTGAAGGAGAAAGTAGAACAGTGCTTAGGTTCTGGCAATTTTATAACGGTAACAGCTGACAAGGTCCATCGGCTAATAAGCTCAGACTTCTTACTTTTCTATTATTTTAAATAAGGGCTAATGAATTTTTATGATCATTTTTGTATTAAAAGTATTCTTGAGAATTAAGAGCTTGGAGAATACTGAAATACGGTAATGCTGTAAAATACAGCATTAATTTGGCCACTTAACACATACAATGGTCTACTCAATTCTTGTTTTCCTTGTTAAAAATAAATGTGATTTTACTCTTATTGATAGCATGTAGGCCATGTGGTTCAGCTGATGATCTCTAGTGCGGGTGAGGAAATTCCAGTCTTGAGGCAACCAATGTACAACTCTCTTTGCTGATCCTAAAAAAGCAAGTATATAGAAAATTCCATAGTCAGACAGTCTGTCTGACTGTCCTCAAATCAGAGGTTCACAACCCTTTCCCTCTCTTTTGTAACCTCTGCTGCTTCCCTGCTCCACAATGTTCCACTTTTCTGATTAGCTGGCAGTGAACTAGGGAGCAGTGTGATACAAGTGGTCCTGAGCTCTCCAGAAGGTCTCCCTGCAGGATGTGGTGGATGGGGGGATCATATAGTGAATTAGGTGAGCTGATATTTCTCTTAGGCTTCTCTTTTTTTTTTTTTTTTTCCCCAAATAGTTCTTAAGATGCTTCCAGGAATGAGTCGGGTAATAGTTGCAATTAGGTAGGCTTTATTTCAGCATAAAACTTTCAGTTTTGAATGTGTCCTTCCTGTTCCTCCTTCATGTCAGATCCAGGCATTTTTTATTTCAAGGGCTTTTAATCTGTTCTGCTCTGTGTGGGGTCTTAGGTAGGTAGGCTTCAGAAGTTTGTGAATTGATGTGGATATCAGTGCTGTTTTTCTGATCTGGAGATGGTGCACATTGTTATGAAAAATAAAGTAATGCAACTATGGAAGTCAGTACAGCAGTATGATTCTATGTTCATGTATGTGTCTTCCACTGAATTTAATGCGAAACTGCTATAGGGTTAAGAACCTTAAAAGTGTAAGGATGTACTGATTTTAAAAGCCTCAAGGATTCTGTTGTTTGGGTTTTTTTCCCTTTGTTCCCCTTCAAATATTTTACTGCTTTGGGAGGAAGTCCTCTGGTATTACGTCAGCTGTAGAAGTAATTCATCACGGCTTGCTGGGCTACTTGAAAGCACAGGGCGTTTGAAAATGGATTGCACATTTCTTACGAATACCAGGATGACATTCATACTGTCTCATTTCAGTCTAGACAAGGATGCATGTGGGGAAAAAAGGAAGAAACGTTTGTGTAATTGGTAGTGATAAAATTTCGTAGGTTCTTCTAACTGTTGTTTCAGTAATTTGGGAGCGTCGTTTGTAATCTAATGTCAGAAAGTCTGTTTTTGTGTCCCATTTTTGGCAGAATATTTCAAAAGGAGAGAGACAGTTTGTTTGAAGAAGTGCACCGAAATAAGGAGGATCTGGGCCTTTGTTAAAACTTCTCTGTGATGTACAGACAAATCATTTCAATTCCCATCCAATCATTTCCTCATTTTTAGATCGGACTATTATCACTTCCCTTCTCTCACTGTTTGCTGATGTAGTCTCCTGACATTATAAAATATCCAGGAAGCAAGTGGTTTCCAATCTCTGAATATGTACCCCCTCCTAATGTGAAATGATCTTAGCTGAGTCTTTAGTATAGCATAAATAACATGAATACAGTAGGTGTTCCATGTTGAACAATGCTTAGTACATGGATATTATTTTCTTTCTATTGTGAAAAGCAAGTTTACAAATGGCTTCAACTTTAAAAGATACTTCAGAGTTAAATGCAGTACAGATCAAGTGCATAACAAATTAGAGTTTTGGCTTTCTTGGTTACTATAGTCCATCTATCTTTCCTACGTTTTCTAACGGATCTGAAACACCATGGCATCTGAAACAATACTCTTTTCTTTAAAAGGTGGTTTACGTTTTAGGGGGAGCATCCAATTCTGCTTTATTTCTCCATCTTCATCCCATTCTGCTAAATACAGGATTTGTTCTGAGTAGAAAAGGAGATAAATGATGTTCTTGAAGAAAAAAGTAAAATAATATTTTTTTTCTAGGTTGTCAGCTGACTGATAGTGGAAAACTCGTATTAGAAAGGTTGCAGTGTTGCTATGTCTTTGAGTTGGGATTGTTTACTCCTCTTGTAAGGCAAGGGGGATCCCTGTTCAGGTACAATCTTGTGACATACAACAGTATTTTGGCAAGGTAAAGATCTAGTGTGGGATCTTAGTAGATTGAAAAAACAAATCTAAGAGATAAAGATGTTCCTAGTGACTGATAATAACGTTGCTGTGTTTTGCTTTCCTACAAAGCAGAGCATATTGTTCAGGCTTAGTGAGAGATAAAGGCATCAGCTGAATTTGAAGTGCACCTTAATTAGTTTTTTGGTTGGTTAGTTTTGTTTTGTTTCCTTAATCAGATCTTGGTCTTAATGAACACTGAAATGAAAAGCTGTAAAGGTACTTCAAGAGTGCTCTGAGGGCTGAGGGAGTATAGAGAAGTGGTTCAGCATGGTAATTACAGTTGCAGTGCTTCTGGCTGTACCAATCTCAGGAGAAAGTTACAGCCAATGTTCTGATCTCATGGTCACTTGATATTCAAAAGCACTGTTTAAAGGAAGCTTTAGATTTGTTTTCTGGAATTAAGCCAGAATTATTTGTGCAATTCTGCTTGATCTTTAAGGAATATGCTTCTTTCATATACATTTTTCCTTTCTCATTCACTTTCCTAGACTGCTGTGCATATCTGAGTGTCTTAACTGATTTTACTCTAACCTCATCCTGACTCCAGTGTGACAGTTATCACTAGAACAACGCAGGTACTAGAGGCAGATATTTAGCATTCTGTTGAGGCCATCCACAGAAATTGGAAAGGAGGGACAGGTCCTTGCCTTTGCCTATGGCTTCCACCTGCATAAGGCCAGCTTGGAGTAGCTGGAAGGTTTTACTGCTTAGTATTAACATCTTTCTGAGCTGCACAGAATTGGAAGGCGCCAATATTAATGATGGTGTTTCAGATACTGCTGAATTGCCGTTTCAAGTTCACCCTGCATAGAAGAGAAATATTTCTAAGAATTTTATTTTAGGTTCAAAATGAGTGATCCTAAAATGTTTGATGTTCTGTGCTACTTTTAAATGTTAGACAGTGGATATCTTCAATTCTGCCAATTAAGCTTAGTAATAAACTTAATAATAATTACTTACTAAGCTTATTAAGAGAATTCATTTGGCTGACTTGCTTTCTGATGTTGTAAGAATGATGCTCCAGAAGCACTAGCAACATGACCTGACTTGTGTGTTGATGCAAGTTTGTTTTACTTGTCAGTAACACTCCCAGTGGGAATGCAAACTGTGAGACACTGTTCCAGGGAACTGAATAATTGAATGTGTTACTGCACTCTACTGGGTCACAGCCCAAGACAGTGGGTTGTCTTGTTTTGTTTTCAAGCACTGACATGCCTGTTGAGCATTTATGCAAGCTCATATTTTTATTTTTAATCTAAAACATGGCGAGTAAACCAAACAGTTATGTAACACATCAGTCTGGTTTTTTCAGTAATTCTACAGTCTAGTTTAGTCAGCTGGTAGCAGTTTAAAACTGTCTTTGGTGTAGATTTAAATGCTTATGATAGAAACAGAAGAACTTCAGAAGGCCAAGCAGTGGAAAAGCTCCCAGAGACATCATTTTAAATGAACAGCTCCTTTTGCACTTCACTGTTCTAAGGCAAGTGCTTCAGAACAAAGTATTTGCCTGCTGCTCAGATGTAGAACAAAGTATTTGCTCTTCAAATGTAGGGCAATGGCTTTATTTATTTCATCTCAATTTTCCACAAATTGTCATCAGATAATTTTGTTTTGTTTGCACCACTTCCCAAGAAACTCTACCTTGGAATATCATCTACTGCTCCAGTTTGTGACACCCTTCTCCCCCTCAGACACATGGCAGTGCCCTTGAGTAGCCTTGCATTCTTTGCCCATACAGCAAAAGTGATTCTTGCTTTTACCAGCATTACTGATAGTGATGATAGAAAATAGTAGGAGAACAGGCCTTTTTATTTTTTGATAGCTTGACCGTGTTGCACTTGAAATTACATTCTGTAACATGCTTGAAATCCCCATCTGCATTTATTCTGTAGGCTAAGTTGTGTGAATTGCAGGAGTAGCCCCTTTAACAAGGCTTGGTGATAGCTGTGTTGTGGAAAGAAGCATCATTACAAAAAACCATATTGTCAGTTTGTCTATCTACGGTCTATTAATTCTTTTTGACACAGGTCTGTAGTTCTAACTGTGTACTGAAAAGTGCATGCAAGAAAAACTTGAGTAAGGTTACCTAAGTGGATGCAAAAGTGAGTTAATTCAAAAATTGTTCTGTGAATCATAAAGGCTGCAGAGGGACAATTTCTGGTGTTGTTCAAAGCCATTCTGCTCTGTATCAAAACTTCTGTCAGTGCCTTTCAGAGGTCTGTTAAATTGATTGGTGTGTCTGTTCTAGCTCCCATCACTGGCCTTACGTGAAAAAAATCCCAGGCTGAGCACAGCTCAGTACTTTTGTTGTTTAATTTTATTCTTCCGTTTCCAGCCTTAGAGTTGGAAGCATGGTGGAGAAGTTTGTGTTCCTCTTATCACACAGCTGCTTCAGGAGCATTTCTGTAGTTTGCATTGGAACAGGGTTGTACCTGGAATCCTGAAATCAGAGGCTCAGTGTCGGTTCCTCTGGGCAAGTGACCTTTCAGCTGTTTTTACACTTCTCTGTCTTAAAAAAGAGAGAGAGAGAAGAAAAGGAAGAAGCTGATTTAATGCAGATACCGTTTATAGACTAAGCTCTTATGATTTTTTTTATTGTTGATGTGAGGTTGTTATTTTTTTGTTTGTTTGTTGTTTTTTAAATAGTATGGCACAAAATGTAGGTGCTTCAAAATTCAAATTTTTTTGCCCTACATTTCACTTGATTGTACTGTGTGTCAGCAGTTTGAAAATTAACATGTAGGGTCTCAGAATTCATGAAATAGTCAGAGGTAAATACTTTGAAGAATATTTCCTGACAGCTCAGTCTGAGGAAAGTAGATGTAGAACGTCTGTCCAAAACTCTGCCTTTTTCATGAGAAGTCTGGAGAGGGAAGCAGAGTCATGCATCTATTTAATTATGATATCTTCATGTATTTTAGGAAGATGTGCGAGTGAAATGCGTGGTGACAGAGAGCAGGTTCCCCTAATTAGTGTTGCTCAAAGTTACATTTACAGCTTGGATGAAGCTGTGTATTTAGATTTCATGGGAGAGGCAACATGGGGAGAAAAGTAGCTGATAGCAAGTGCTGGTGTGACAGGGAGTTTCTGAGACAATTCCTGTTAAAATCATGCATCCCTGCTTCTGTTCACTCATCTTTCAGTATCTTGTCCTCCAAGGAGAAGTTCCTCTCCCAGTCTTCTACTTTTCTTCAGTCTCAATCAGCCATTTAACACTGCTGCTTTTTTTTATCCTGAAGAAGAGAGAAAATCTCCGTACTGAGTTGTTGCCAATCTGAGATAAAACAAATTCTAGCTGTATTTATTTTTAACAGTACAGCATAACAATTCATTACATTCAGTAGGTGGGGTGAATGAAGCTTTATTTCACAGTCTTGTGTACAGGCAAACTGAGCGGAAGCAGATGTTCCCATACTCTGAAGTTAGGCCAAATAGACTAAGGGAAACTTCCTTGCAGGTACATGTGTCTGATTTAACAAGAAAAGAAATAAAGAAATTGTCTGTCTGTTATTTCTTCCTTTTTTTTTTTTTAATGGAAAGAATTTCTGTTCCTTTCAGCAAAGCATCCTGTCAAAACTAGTTGAGTTCTTCAGAAGTTGGTTTCCCTTTCCACAGTATAAGAAAAACGATGACATACTGCACCGATTGGTAAGAGATTTTTTTTTTCCTTTTTTATAATTTCCTTTCCTAATCCACAGGTCTTCCCCTCCTTTGTACCTTCTCTTCCAAGCACCATCTTTAGTTTCTGTTGGTTTTTTTTTTCCTTCTAGCAGTTTTACTTAATCTTTAGGCAATATTGTTTCAGAGGTAGGATGCATGGCAAATTGGGCACGCGCACAGTGAAGGAAAACTGCCAGCAGCCAGCTTGAATATATTCACAGTGTGGAAGAGACTGTCAGAAATTAAATAAATTCTTGAAAGCTGAAAGGAATTAATTCACATTAAAACTGCCCCAGTCAGTGGAAGACACTGCAAAAACACTGAGAGAAAGTCCCTAAGTTGCAATCAGTGACTTGCAGACACAGCTCAAGATGAAAGCCTGTAGAGCATCATTTAGTGCCGCTTTGCTCTCTTACAGCTTCTTAGCTCAGGCGTAGCAGTGTGCTTGGGCAGCTCCACCACTCTTGGTCCTGTCCTGAGCTATGTGTTCTGTTTCTGCTCTATTCTCCATAGTGCTTTTGCATTTGGGAAAAGCAAAGTAAAGTAATGCACCACCATGGAAATGTTGCGTTAGACTGTTATGGAATCTAACAGTTAGAAGTTTGTTTTTTCTACTGTGATACAAAAATGAATCACTATATGTAACTTAGGGGAAAAAAAATGCTGAATTATATGAGAAGTTAGGAGTTTCCATTTCTAAGGGTTCATCCGATTGCTATCACTTCTCCCTCATTTGAAGAAGCAAGATCTCTGCAACATCTTGTTACTGACTATCCTTTTAATTCCCTTCCTCCTTGTTTCTCTTTGAATTAGAACTTTTGGCTTCACACCTTTTCTAACCTTAATTTCTTGAGACAGAAATGCAACCGAAGAATATGGAAAACATGTTTCTTCTGCTGCCTGCTACTTTAGGGTAACAAAATGACACAGGATATTTTGGAGGAGAGCAGTTTCCTCTTGAGCACAGCCATAAAACTGTGTTTTCCAGTAAATGTAGAGTGCAAGTAGTCTGGATTAATATCAATGTAAAGAATTTAACTAGCTAGTTTGTGAAAGCCTGGGTTTTCATAAATAATCTAATTTGGTCAGTGCAGACTAAAAAGCTTCTGTAATGTGAAATGTCAAACTTCTGTAAACTTCTGTTAACTTTTGCTCTCCTTTCCTTCCTGTAATCTAGCTAGATGCAAAAATGCCACATGTTCAGTTTTGGTGCTTATACAACATTCTCAATTGGAAGGGTTCTGTACTGATAGTTTGGTGCAATATTTTGGCATAATTGTGACGTGTTTCTAGATAGCACTACTGTCTAGATCTGATCACAAGTCGATGTGAAACACCCTGCTAGGCTGAAGTAATAGATAGAAAATTAGTTTTTAAATTTAAGCATGTTTAGAAAAGTGAGGTAGCCACTACTGGTATACCTGAAATATTTCTGAATCTTCAGGAAGAGTTAGCTGCCAGTGAAGTGTAGGGTATCTGGATGTTTTCCTTGTTATCATAACTTAATTTTAAGAGTTTACATGTTCTTTACTAACACTTGTTTTTTCTTCTGCTTATTTGTGCTAAGGATGTTGGATTTCGATTTGACACGCTCCGTACCATCCTGCAACAGGAAGTTCTGCTGCAGGAGGATGTGGAACTGATTGAGTTCCTTGACCCGAGTATCCTGTCTGCAGGGCAGTGTAAGCAACAGGAAAATGGACAGCTTCCAACACTACGCTCCCTAGCAACTCCTAATATTTGGTATTGTACAGAGAATATCTGTTACAGTGTTCGCTCTTAAACAACAACAAACAAATATTGTACGTTCTTTACATAAAATGCAGCAATATAGTAACTTTTTTTTTCCTCAGATCTTTGAGTCTTTGGTCCACTACTACTCACATATATGGATAAACATGTTTTTGCCTCAGGCATTTTATTGAAAGAGCAGTTTTAATCTGAGATAGATACATAAGCATAAGTCAGTACTTATAAACCCTAACAGATGCCATTAATTGGTTTTGAAAACATTTGAGGTAGGAAGGATTGTTTGTCCAGCATGAAGAAAACTTAGGTGGGATGAAACAGTCTTATGGGTAGTAGAAGGTAGTAAGGAAGCGATGTCAATGTGTGCAGAAAAGCAAAAGATACGAAGAAAAATAATTTGATTCATTTCCAAAATATTTAGACTGAATTTGGGGGAAATCTTTGGAACTCTGAGGATACTTAGCAGTAGGGATAAATACATGGGTGCATTTGGCATCGTCTTTATCTTCCTGGGGCTGTCAGTGATGATTTAGATAACCAGAAACTGAAAATCAAGAAGCTGGTCTCTTTGACCCCTTCCAGTCTTTCATTTTGGAGATTTTTGGGGCAGATTTTTTTTTTTTTCAAATATGCTAATGAAGTTACAGACTGTGTGTCCCTTCTTTAAAGTTATTTATGTTCCTGTAATACTTTAACTGCACCTTTGCTGAAACCTATCACTAGAGCGAAAGAGTTAGAGTTAGCTTTTGTGAACTAATTGAAAAATGACTACAGAACTGTCCAGCAACTAGAAAATCCAGCACCATGTTTGATTTTAGGGGGGGGAAAAATGATATTTTTATTTCAAAAACTTCAAAGATTGAAGTTTGTTATGTGGGTTGAAACCCATATCCTGTCCATCTCTGTGAAGACTGATACAATTTTACAAAATTGCAGCTATAATACTAGATGTGAAACACCGTGTATTTTTTAGGAGTTACTTGTTGTAGATTTCTTTCTAGATGAAAATAACAGCCTTACCAGGTTTTGGAAATGTTCTTTAGAAACAACTGAACTGAGATACTAATTACTCTGTCGGGGTTTTTTTTTAAAGGATTTTCAGAGGCTGCCAAATAATCTAAAATAATTATTCTATCTATGCCATGAGAATGTGCTCAAAATTAGTTGTCTGTTGGTATCCGAGTTAAATGAGTCAAATGGCAAAAAATAAAGCTAGTGTTACACGAGGGTTTCGTTTCCAAAAAAACCCATATCCTTTCCTAATGTATTTTTGAACCAGGAAATGCAGATATTCCCATTCCTACCCATTCCAGCTTCTAATGCTGAGTAGTCAGATTGGGGTTTGGCTTTGTGGGTTTTGTTTTGTTTTAAGGTCATATAAAATAAAGTGGCCATTTGAAGTGGTACATCTTTCTTCTACTTTTGCCATTAAATAGCTGGATAAATGTTTCTTTAGAGTATACCCAAGGTGTAATATCATGTGAATGTACGTTTAATCTGCAGCTTAGTATTTTCTGGTGTTTACAGCTCACTTAAGAATCTACATGTACTTCCTGCTTGTTTGACCTCAGGAGTCTGTGGTTGAAACTACTTTCTCTGTTTGCAGGGATATCTCACTCTTGCTTGCCTTTGTAAGTGCCCTGCTTATGCTTCCTTCATGGTGGAAGGAGTCATCATGGCTACCGTGGGGACTGGTTCTGCTTGTGTATGCAGTCTTTCGAGTGTGGGCCACATGGAGGACAGCCAAGCTACAAATGTCCCTGCAAAAATACTGTACCCAGCTGGAAGAAACAGTAGCAAATAGTCGAGCTTTTACTAATCTTGTGAGGAAAGCTCTACGGCTCATTCAAGAGACTGAAGTAATTTCCAGAGGATTTACCCTGTGAGTCTACGTTTCATTTTAATGCAAGATCCGTCTAAGCCAGATGTGTTCTGACATAGTCTTGTTGCACTGTCTCCCATAACAAATGGAACTGCTGAAAACCATGCTGCTTAAAGTTTTGCTTTTATGTAAAATAGTATAATTATCATAGCTGTGTTCACCAACATGCGAGTATGAATCCTAACAAGACATTGTTAAAACTATGCATCCTGAAGGAGCATTAAGTATCAGAAATATTTACTGGACACCTACATTTTTGAAAATCTCCTGGAGTCTTAGCAATGAAATACCGAAGGAAAAAAAAAGAACTTAGAACCAATCCTGGAGGGTTATTTAGGTTGCTTCTTTCACAGTTTTTTGTACTTCGTATTACCAAATCCATGTAACCAAACTGATCTGCAAGTAATCATTCATATTTTAGAAAACAAGATTACTTCAAAATTATCAAATAATAGTCTGAAGTAATGAGAGCATAGCAATTAGCAAGGCCTATTCAGAGGTCATTTTCAACCTCAAAAAAATTACGTTTCCCTTTTCTTTTCTTGCATACAATTGTTAAGATGTTTAGAATTTTAAGTTATTTACTCCTTGATTTGCCTCTTGTCCACTTAAGGTATTAAAGTTTCTCTAGTTATTTAGCTCTCTGGGTAATATTTAACTCCTTGGATAACTTTACTCTTATTATGTTGAAGGACATTAGAACATATTCAGTGTGTGCAAGACCCACTCTCATTGCCATGTATGTCCTTTTCCCTTGTAGCAACCTATTTCTAGACATATGCCTGAGTCAGTTTGACTTGAAATTAAAGAAGACAGGAAATGCCCGCAACTAAATGCTGCTGACTTCTTTCTAAAACCAATAAAAAGTTCCCCTGTGTGCACCAAGAAATGGTTAATGCCAGACCAACTACTCAACTTGTAGGCTCTTGTTGTTATGTGCAAGCTTTAAACTGTGGAGTTTGCATTTTGAATTAATTTTTGAATTTGAGATACCTTCAATATACTTAGCTTTATTCTCCCTTAGGAATGCATAAACATGTCTTCAGTCTGCCTAGCTGTGTTTTTTGTTGTGTTTTCTGAAGAAGTGTATAGTTAAGCAATAGACAGTCTTATCTTTGCAGATGAGTTCTTAAAAGAAATTATTATTAGGGCTTGTCCAAATAACAGATGAGAAAAAAAATTTGGGTTTTTTCCTAAGTTTAAGCAAATGAACTTGTGGTCAGTGTTAAAAATTGCTCGTTTCTTGTTTTTTTACTACATATCTTAGATAACAGATTAACAAAAAACAGACTGATCTTTAAGCTAGTGCTTGATCTCATAGCCCCTTTACTTAAAATTCTGGCAAGCTTTTCAAAAGCTTTTATAGTGTGGATGGAGTGGGAGAATGCCATGTCAGCATTCTCATCAGAATCATCATCATTCATACTCAGTATGAAGAGGTCGGTGTCATACAGGTTTTGGGTTGGTTTAGTCTGGAGGAAGTTTGAACTCAAGTGTTCCCTCCAGCACCCACATAAGTAAGAGATGCTGCTGCACAGAGCACGGTGAACTTCTTTGCTTGATATTATGCTTTATGTGTGATCCAAAAATCTAGCTACCCCCTCTCGGTGAATTTTGATACAGTGAATCTTAGAGGAACTAAGTTTGATATGTTCTCCAGCAGTAACCTTGTCAAAGTCTTAATGCTTGTTCAGAGAGAGTCTTGAGGCAATAGGAATGGTTGCACCTGGAAAGTTAATGAGTATCTTCTTGTATTGTTTTATATCTTTAAAGGAATGGGATTTTAACTGGGTAGTGCAGCATCCTGTTGCATGATACATATGCTGCTCTTTGAATATTCTGCAAGCCTAGCGTAGTCTGGACTGTGAATTCATTTTGTTATGAATGAAAGACAATGAAGCTGACAAATAATACCAAGTCCAGGTTTTGACTGACTGTCTTAGCATAGTTCTGCAAGCCCAGGTCCTGGTGTCCTATGTTTTTTTCTCTCTATTGCACCATCCATTGCTATGTTCTCATATGGCTAATTTGTGTAAACTTACAGCTTTGCTTTATTCTACTCTCCATGCCCCCTTGTTAATTAATATTTGGCTGTTTCTGAAAGTGTTAAATTATCCTTGATGAGATTTGGGTCAGTTCTCCATTGGTTCATTGGTTTACTACTGCATGGCAGTGGCTGCTATATGATCAATTGATTCAAATGTTGTTTTGCCTTTGTTCCCATCCCACCTAAAAAACAAAACAAAGCAAAAACAAACCCACAAACAAACAAAACAAAACAAAAGAAACACACAGTAGCCACTTAAGGGAAAAAAAAAAAAAAAAAAAGCCAAACCAGTAAGGACCATGTCATGTGTTTCTTATATAATCTGCTCTTCAAAGACCATTGAATGTTCTGATTTCAGTGTGGCCTTCAGAAGAGTTTAATACCTCTGTTGGCTTTTAAGCCTGCACAGTAAAAGCTCTGTGATGCAGAGATGCTCAAGATCTTGCCAATGTAATTTGGATTTCAGAAATTATGTAGCCAGTGTAGGAAAGGGCTCTGCTCAGGCAGAACAGCAGTATTTCTGTCTCTGTTGCAATTAGACAAATTAATCTTGATCACGAGTTGCAGCCTGGATTTTCTCCTGGCTAATGAAAGTATGTTCATTATTAAATTATGAAATGAAAACTGTAGGGATATACAATGAAAGGCTGCAGCAATAAAAAGCAAGTAGTTATTTCCTTGTCTGTCACTGATACAATTAACTTTATTCCAAAGTACTACCTCGATATAGTTTCAACTACAATCAAACTCTGTGAGTGTATGTTGTTGTGTATAGCATCTCTGTAGAAGTTGCTTTTGTGTTAGAGTACAAAGAATAGTTTTTTATTTAAGTGTACATGCGGGTTTGTTAAAGGAGGGATTCTATTTAAAACTTGATTTGTGAAACTAATGGAGAAATAAATAATAGTTCTTTACAAAGAAAATGGATATGGAGCAGCAGAGAAGAGGAAATTCACTTTTAACCTTTTTTAAAAATTTTTGCTGTTTGTGGCTGATGTCCAAAGATGATAATATATTGTAAGTTCAATTAAAGTATGTGGAAGATAAATGAAAACCTAGGAAGCTAGGGATATGGCATGTCTGTCACATGGAAATTTATAGCAAGTTATATTAACATTACTGGAATAAAGAATTATTCCATTTAAAAAAAAAAAAAACAACCAACACTGAAACAAGCCTCCCAAGAAGCAATACAAATTGTTTTGTTGAATACTGTCAGTACTGCACGTACTGCATGAGTTGTGCAGAAGCTGAAAATGCTTGCATTGCTGTAGCAGAACATAAATTTCTTTCTCTTTTTTACTAGAGAATAGTTTTTACTAGCAGAATAGCTTTACTCTTCTCTTTGGTCCTGCTTCTGACAGTTCACCCAAGGCTTGAGTCTACGAAGTGATATAAGAGTTTGTCCTTGAACGCTTCTAATTTTATCTTCACAAGTTAGGAAAACATTAGAGATTGGCATGTCCTGACTTACAGATACAAGGTGAACTCATCACTTTCCTCTGAGTAAGGTGAGAGCAGAAGCAGGCTTCCAATCCCCTACCAGTTTGTCAGTCTTGATGACCGCACCACGTCCATTCCCGATCTGGTTCTAGTGAACACAGTGCAGGAGAGGATGAACTGTGCACTTAGGCCATTTTCAGTGTTGTAGCTACAGGTTTGGCATCAGATTATGTGTCTTAAGACTCTGTAGATATATTTAACATTTACTCAGTTCATAATCCAATTTATTTCCAGATTAGACAATTTCTTACTGTTCTGAAGACACTTTGAAGTATAGTCTAATAAGCAAATGGTGTCTTTTAAATTGTGTATTCATCTGAACATATGGATACCAAAATATATTTTCAAATATGCTTTATACAATTGTGTACATTTCATGTTACCTGTCTGACTTCCATGAAACACTGCTGTCATTCACTGCATGATTGATAAAAGCTATTTCACCACTTAAGTAACGTTTCTTTTGACCTAGAGAGTAATTCTGCAGGGGGTTTGACCAAAAATAGTGTTTTGCATGAAAAACAATGAACAGTAGCACATTTTTCTATAAAAAGTATTTAAAGAGCAAATCTGCATGCAAAGAGGCAAATGTTAAATATCTGCAAACTTACAGTGGGCTTATGGTAGTTTTATGGCAGATAATGTTGTGGCCTGCCTACATTTACTATGTTCTTTTGGAACACTTTGGAGAAGACAAATGTCCTCAGGAATTTTACTGTGGCTCAGGTAGGACTGGAATCAGGCTGCCTACAGAGGAATCCTAGCTGCTTAACTAAATGTTTGACTGAATAATTCACTGATGTGAATTTCTTGTGTGTGTGTGTGTGTGTGAGAGAGAGATAGTTACTGAGCAAAAAAATAGTGGTAGAAAAAGAAAACTTATGTATTATCTTTTAAAAATACTTTAGGACATCTGTACAGTTGTATCACATTTTACTTTTCAAGTTTGCTTGACAGGGTCAGTGCCGCTTGCCCACTTAATAAAGCTGGACAGCATCCTAGTCAGCATCTTATTGGTCTCCGGAAAGCCGTCTATCGGTCTGTCAGAGCCAACTTCCGAGCTTCAAGACTGGCTACTCTGTACATGCTGAAAAAATATCCTTTTTGTAAAAACCCCATCCGTTCAGATATTCCATTAATATGGTTTTCTACCTGCATTCATGCCGACATTCAGAGTTGGCATGACTAGAAGCATACAGTATCTAATTGTATATCTAATTATGTATCTAAACAAAAACTGAAGAAAATGTAGCGTAGTAAATTTTGTCTTATGCTTGATTTGGAGCAGTCAGCGTATTTCTTTCTTTTTGCACTTTGCAGTGTGAGATGAGATCCTGTGGATTGAAAACATTGCCCCAGGTATTGATGGCCATGTCTTTGATGTATGTACTGTTTTATGATTATTCCTAAGTCATCTTTTTTCCTCACACAAAAAAAAAAAGCACCTCTCCTCAGAACAATATGCCCTTTCACTCCTTGTCTCCATTTTCAAAGATAAGTTGATTTCCTGTTTCAGACAAGCTGGGTGAAACTCTTGTTACATTAATAAGCCAAAAGCGTGAGGATTTTCTATTCCAAATCAAACTGTGACACTTGCTTCACAACATGAAATCTGAATCATAATCTGTATCTCCTCAGCAATTCAAGATTTTTGTTGTACTCTGTAGGAAGTGGCAACGTAGAGTATTTCAGACTGTATTGGAGCAAAAACAAAAACAGAAAACAGGTACGTTTCTGATATGAAAAACATTTGTGTCTGTCTTTGAAAGATTTTTAAAATGGAGGTTCAATTATACCAAGTTATCATGCAGATACCTTAGTAGTAATGCCAGCTGAAATGAATGGTCAAAAATAGGTTGGAACTGTATGTCTATAAATTCTTGGCGACCAAATAGAGAAGCATTATATAGAAGCATTCTATATGCAGAATGTAGTAGAATGTAGTAGAACAGGTGTTTTGGTTTTCGTTTGGCTTGATTGATTGTTTGTCACGGATTTGACCAGATCAATCTATGTCCGTGACAGGGGCGACAGGCCTCTGCCCTCCCCCCCCCCCCCCACCCCAGTCCCACAAAAATGGGAAGGAAGGAAGGGAGGAAAAGAACAGCGGCAACAATCTATGGAGGAAAACTTATTTTACTATAATATTGGAATACAAGATAACACAATAGATACAATTTAATTGCAATTGAGATTAATAAATCAGACAAGATGAGAGAGAGAGAGTTCCCGGGACCGATTCAAACCTGAAAAGCTTGGAACGGCTAGGAAAGCACCCTCCAGCACCCACTGCCAGGCAGCAAGAGAGCGCCCCCCCCACCCGGAAGGGCCAGATCCCGTGACTTCTGTAATGTACAGGGATAGGTACCTGGGATTGGGGCAGTGACACTTTAATACCCCGTACACTACGTGATGTTTTGATGTGGAATACTGAAACCCAAAAACAAAAAAAAAACAAAAACAAAAAACATAGAACCATGACATTGTTTTTTTGGCTGTTTTGCTTTTTGCTTTTTTTTTGCATTTTTGCTTGAAATATCTTCCAGTAGAAATTCAATGTGTGAAATGCATCTTAGTCTCCAAGACAATAGCATTTGAATCTTCCTACCTGATATACTAAGAATCAAGGCTTAGTGAAGGTAATGGTAATGTGTATCTCAAATGAGTAAGTGGGAGATCTGACTAATGAAGTTGTTACAGAGAATTAAAAATCTTCATTCACAGCTTTACAGTTTAAATACAGATATGCAATACAGATCACATAAACCTGACACGTTATCATTACTCACTTCAGTAAGACAAGAAGCTTGCCAGTGTTTGCTTGTGGTTGGTATGCCACTTTCTAAGAGTGAATTGAATAAATTAATATCTTCCTAATTACAATTTGTTCCCATGTAAAATAGAAAAACATACTATGATGCTGCAGCTTAAATTAAGTATTTTTGTTAAACTCAGTGGACCAGTAATATTTCACAAGAGGGATTCTCTACGTTTCATGTGAAGTGACAGTTATTGACTTGCAGAAACTACTCAGCATTTTCTCACGTCATCCTTACTCTGATTTGTTCATACCAACGAGAGTGCATTGTCCACAGTTGTAGAAGAAACAGCCATAGAGGAGAAAAGAGTATTTCTCCTTAAGCCTGAAAAATGAGGGCATAGTGGAATACAATATCCTTATTTTAGCTTAAGCTAAAAGTTGGGTTGGGTGTTTGCAGGATATGATGCAGATTTGTCACTACTAGTGTAGGAAACCTCTGCACTGCACTACACTGAGTTGTGTAATAATTTAGAGGTGATCAGGCACTGGCACAGGCTCCCCAGTGCACCAAGCTGCCAGAATTCAAGGAACATTTGGACAGTGCTCTCAGTCATAGGTTTAATTTCGGTGAGGTTCTGCGTGGAGCCAGGAGTTGGATTTGATGATCCTTGTAGGTCCCTTTCCACTTAGGATATTCTGATTATTATATTTTTAAATTTAATGTCCTTTCATTATGATGAAGTGGATGATAAAATACATTCTATGTATTTAAGATGCGTTGAGTTCAGGAAAATTTGCTCTTATTACATCTAGTTAAATTTTGTTCCTTCTCCTTTGAAAAAGAAATTTAGTTAATCACGAAATGTTAAAAAAAAAAAGCAACCACTTTTTTGCTTAGGAAAGACAGCTAATACAAGAAAACCTTAAGCTGAAGGTAAATAAATAAGTAGATGTACTCTCTTTGGGCTCTAAAAGCCTACATCAGAAGTTTGCTTCTGGAATATCTAAGTAAAGATTTTTGTTGTTGACCAGCCATCACAGTCATCACATGCTTTGTTCATCCCTTCCAGCAGATTCCAGAATTTTATGAGACTACAGAGCATCTTGGATTTATTAGGAATTCTATGAGGCCTTGTTAGATCTTTAGATGGGAAAGTACTTCTGAAGAGCAAAGTACTACTATTAAATTGTTACGTATGTGGGTGCATTAGTCCTTTTGCTTTTTTATAAGTATCATCATCCTCCAAGCGGAGACTAGATATTCACTGTACATATATTTTATTCTGGATTTGACAGTTTATTATTTAGTATCTTTGCCTTCTCTTGCTCTAAGCTAATAAGGAATGTAAGTTAAACGTGAGAAAAGTATTTTTGCAAAAGCAGGAGTGTTTAAATAAGGTACACTTATTTACTCTACTTGCATCCCTTTAGTTAATTTCACAATGTGAAAAAAAAAAGACATGCTTTAGATCAAAGAGCACTGAGGAAATGTCAGTACATTTTTAACCAAAATTATTGGAAGTAAGAGGGCATGGCAGGAGACAGTGTGGGAGTTTAATGGGAATCCCTAGCTGAGACGCACTGTGTCTAAGTGACTCATTTGGTCAAACCATCTTCTTGAGAGATTCCCTGTAATTTTTTAATAGATTTAAAAATCCACATGTTTAAACTGTTTTTCTTGCTGTTGCAGAAAAAGATTAACACAGACTGTGGTTAGTCTCTAAGATAATAGGTCCTGAAGATTTTGACCTGTATTTTCAGTCTCTGGTGGAGTTAATGTCCCTGTGCTCCATCTGCTGGACACACTTTCAGGTTAATTTAGACTAGCTGACCCCACTGACACTGTGTTTATGTGAAGCAGCAGATGCTGTGTTACTGAGTCATTTGCATTGCAGATTTTCATCTGCATTCATGCTTCTGGAGAGCACTTCACAGGCATCTTTCTTCCTGTCTTTGAGTAGAAATTAGTGAGAAATGTGTTTGTTCAGAGCCTGAGCACTTAGTATTGATGTTTCCTGAGCCACAGAAATTTCCCTTTGTGCAGTGTGCTCCCACTCAAACGAAGAACACTTTCTTGAGCATTATTGCAAATACAATCCTAAGAGAATGTAGAGGGTGGAAAATTTGGGAGTGAGAGTGAGTAGAACTTGTGGCTTCCCCAGAAAACATATTAGCTGGATAAGAGAGAAGTACTTCTAATGGCCTTTACGTGACCAGGGAGGTTGAAAACATTCAGTTTGTAAATCAAAACATCAATCTTCTCTCTGATCTCTGTTGAGGCTGACATGAGCTATTTATTGGGAATTTACTGATTAAGGATAATTTCCTCGCTTGAAAGGAATGCTGAGATTTTGCATCAATCTGATTGTATTTGTTTCTTTCTAAGTGGTTGCATTTAGACATAGAAGTTTATTTGTTGTTCTATCTCTCATCCTTCTATGAGCTTGTAAAACTGTGCTGTGAAGAAAGACGGAAAGTTCAATTAAACAGGATTTAGATTCAACTAAACAGAGATTGGATGCCATTTTCTGAGGTGTTTTTTTTTGCCTTATGTGTTTAATGCAAAAGTACTTTGTTAGCCTCCTTAACTCTGGCTAAACCTACCCTCTGAACTCTGAGAGCGACAACGTGACCAGCTACATCTGTGTAGTCCCTTTTAAGGACCTGGGACTGGGACTGAGTGAAGAGCAGGTATCTGAGGAGGAGGCACACAATCTCACGGATGGCTTCAGCTTGCCTGCACTCAAGGTAATTGCTCTTAGAAAGACACACATGCATGCAGGCTCAGTGTGAGAATCCGTTTCAGTTCTTGTGGTGCATACAGCTGATTGTCTTCTCTAAACAAAGACAACTGCTCATTTCATTTGAAGTGGAAGTTCCTAAGAAGTTAAGTTGTGGGTTTGCTTCTTCTCAGTTTGCCTAACCTCTTCTGTGCCATGTAAAATGTTATGATTCGTGTCTTACAGCTCTTTAGTGGCATTCATCAAATTTCTCACTTTGGCTGAAGAAAGGAGTTAAGTCAGCTTTCTCCTGAAGTACAATGTTTTTTTGTTGAAGTAGAGTGCAATTAGGCTTCTGTTTCAAGATTGGTTGCGGGCCAATGCAGTAACTTTTAAGTGGATGTAGAAATTATAGCCTAATGTTATAAAGGAAAAATTGTCTTCGCTGCCACTAGAATTTTGGCAGCTCTTTTTGAGCTGTAGGGTATTTGAAGATCATAGCAAATAATGAGACTGCCTGATGAGAATATGAAAATTGAGGTCTCTGACAGACTTTTGAACATAATTGCCTATAATGCACTTCATTGGAGAATTAATGGTCATCTGAGGTTCACTAGATCTGAACCCACATAGTCAGAGATATCCTTCAAAAATACTCAGTGGATTTTCTTATTATTTCAGTGTTTCTGTGGTAGGCTGAGGAATGTTTCTGCATTCTGTATCTGCACCTTTATTTTGGAGGCTGGCTGTGTTCCAGGTACACAGAACTAACCTCACTCTGTTTTGCAGGTTCTCTTTCAGCTATGGGTAGGGCAGAGTTCGGAGTTCTTCAGGAGACTGGTACTGCTTCTCTCCCCAGCCAATGCATCCCCCAAGCCCTTGATCTCCCCTGAACGGTTGCCTCATCATATCCTGTCTGATGTGACTCAAGGCCTACCTCATACACATGCTGCCTGCTTAGAGGAGCTCAAGAGAAGCTATGAGTTTTATCGGTACTTTGAAACTCAGCATCAGTCAGGTTTTGAACGACCAACCAGAACAAAACAGAAGTCAAGAGAGTTGAACAGCCTTCAAACAGCAGTACGCAGTCTGCAGCTTCATCTCAAGGCACTGCTGAATGAGTAAGTTTACACATGAATTAAGACACTATGCCTGTGGGAAGAAGGCTTCAGACTCGAGTTCTTTGGGTTGTCAGTTTACTTTATCCCAGATTAGAAACAAAAAATGCAGATACAGTCACTGTAAGTACATCATGCCTGTCCTGTTCCTAATTGATTTTACTAAGGTGTCTGTTTCCAAGGTAACAGCTCTACTTTAAAGTAAAATAGTAAAGATGTTTTTTGACGGTATAATTATCTGAAGAATGCTTCAGAGATTGTTTCCCTGTTTACATTCTCACACTCTTCCCATTGCTGTGTCTGAACTCTCAGCTGTCATCTAAGTATATCTTTATGTAGAGTGAGGTCAAAGACTCCTGTTTCAATGGGAAATCCAGTGTTGTTTCCTGATTATTCTTTTGATATCTAGTGAAAATTCAAAGCTAAGCAGTACTTTAATTTCTATATTTGCTTTTGTCTAACCCTTAAAAAAAAAATCTGAAAATGTACTTACTTTCCCTTGACTTCTTAACATACCAAATGCTTTATAAGAAAGTTCAGCTCTTAGTAACTATAGTAAATATTTTTAAAATGTCATCACTGGCTGGTGAAGTAGCTGAAACTATCTATTCCTTTAATCTTACGTGTAAGAATTACTATGAGTGAACGGTGTATCTCAATGTGGATAAATGGATCTTATTTTTCAAAATGTGTGGCATTATCGAGGAGATGGCCAAACTAGATCTTTACAAGCTAAAGAGAATAACAGGATATTAAATAGCTGAAGAAACTGTGAAGACAAATATTTATTTGTGTTTATTTCTGTTCATTTCATTAGGGTAATAATTCTTGAGGATGAACTTGAAAAACTTGTTAGCACTAAGGAGACACCTGAATTAACAACAGAAGCGCACCAGGTTCTGGAACAAAAACTAAAGTTTATTCAGCCTCATATGCAGGCAAGCAACAGCTGCTGGGAAGAAGCCATTTCTCAGGTGGAGAAAATGGGTGGAAGAAACCCAAATAAAAAAGGTAAATATGAGAGGTTAATTTAGCAACTAAAGGGATGTGCTTTAGAGTTGGAATGGATCAAAAGCTGCATTCAGCCTTTATTTTCTGAATTTCAGCGTAAAGAGATTTAACAACCTTACTCTTTGAAAAGCTATCTATTTGTCAGACTTCATTATTGAGATGGCCTTGAAGCTTTTGTTTCAGGAAAAAAAAATATAAAAAATAAAATGCTAACTTAGTCTATGAGGCATGTGGATTTACATGGTACATTTACATTTCCAAGTGGAGCCCAATAGTGGATTTTTCCCTGTAATTGGTGAGCAGCGTGTGAAGTGGTGGGATTTTGATGAAATATCTCTGAGGTTTTTCTTTTATCTATTGCATAAATATTAGATAGGTAATTGAAATGACAATTACCTTGTCATGAAAATTTCTTGATAATGACATTTCCTGAAACATTTTAAATTGATGTATTGAGTTTATAACACCTGCTTTCCTGCTCTCTCAGATATAGTGAGCTAATCTCCTTTGTGTTTAAAAGTGATGTGAACAGCACATGCCAAAGTTTTGCCTTAGTGAGCTCTACTGTCCATGCTGTTATCTTTTGTGATTTACATTTAGCTTAAGTGATTGAAGTGAGCTGAAACTCTCTTGACACGGAGTTGAACATAAAATTTCTGATCTTGTTTCCAGGAGCTTTTTTACTGGCCTAGGAAGGCACAGCCCAGCATCTGAGTAATGCTGGTAGTAATGGAGACTATATTAGGAAAATTATTATCTGGGATATGTATCAGCAAGTTACCTACAGAAATCCCAGTTTGTAGTGAGCTAGGCTCTTAATTATGTATGGGTGGGGTATCCAGTAGGTGGTTGAGTACTGCTGTGGTCCAAGAGATGCCCAGGCTGACATTGTTCGTGTTCACATTAGAATTGGGAGCACTGGTGAATCCCGTGTCTACAGGCTCCACGCAGGTCCAGACATGACATAACAAACTTGCTGTTATTAATATATATTATGAGGCAAAATCATTAAAGAGCTTTCACTTTCAGTTTTGTCCAGTGACTTGCCTGGTGGGAATGTGTGTGGTTTGAATCTCTATTTTGTAACAAGTTTACTGAATCACTCCCCAGAAACTACTTTTAAATTATGTTTAAATTATGTTATTTTTATCTGACTACATTTGAATTTCCTAATGTATTTCTGAGCAGTTCAGCTTCTGTGAGTTGAACTTTTCAAGCTGTGCATGAAATCATCTTATTACAGAATCACAGAATTGTAGAGGTTTCAAGGGACCTCAGGAGATCGAGTCCAACCCCTCTGCTAACTTGTAATCTCTTTGTATTCATCTTAACAGCTCATCTGTCAGTCATGATTATGTGAATTAATTATGTGAATTACATGTGGGGCTTTTTTTCAATACTTCCTTAAAACTCTTTGAAAGAAGATACCTTCCTGCTGAAATAATATAACAGCTAAGCACATCTTTATTTTGTCTTTATTCACCATTATGTAAAATCAAATGAATTTTTTTACAAAAGCTGTAGTTAAAAGCCTAACAATACAACTTTGTGTCAAATTGGTTGAATAGTGCTTTTGGTGCAGTAGATGTTTAGTTCAACTAACCAAAGAAAAGCTGTGGGGATATATCATCAATTATGAACAGTGATGAAGAGGGAGTTGTTGTTAATGGTTTAGACCAAGTTTTGAGAGGAAATATTTCATAACTTAAAAGCTGTATATATTAAATATTTTCAGCAATAACTTTCAGTTGTGCTTAGTATTACAAAGTCACTCCTTTTTACTCCATCTGTAAATACAAAGCGTATCCACTGTTTAAATTTACTTTTTCTCGAGTTTGATACTCACTGGAATGCTTTTGCTGAATTATTCACTGGGAGCATCCAGCCACTAAAGAACTGCTTTGAACTGTGCTCTGTCCTAGTTGTGGCACCCTAGGCAGCGGCATAGCACATATTTTTCAAAGCGGTTTTCATAGAATCATAGGATGGTTTGGGTTGGAAAGGACCCTTATGATCACCTAGTTCCAACCCCCCTGCTATAGGCAGGAACACCTCCCTCTAGACCAGGTTGCTCGAAGCCCCATCCAGCCTGACCTTGAATGGTTCCAGGGAGGGGGGCATTCACAGTCTTTGTGGGCAATCTGTTCCAGTGTCTCACCACCCTTGTAGCAAAGAATTTCTTCTTGATGTGTAGTCCAAATCTACCCTCTTCCCGTTCAAAACCATTTCCCCTCATCCTGTCTCTATGCACCCTCATAAAAAGTCTCTCCTCAGCTTTTCTGTAGGCTCCCTTCAGATACTGGAAGGCTACTATAAGATCCCCCAGAGCCTTCTCCAGGCTGAAGAGCCCCAACTCTTTCTGCCTGTCCCTGTGGGGGAGGTGCTCCAGCATTCTGATGATCTTTGTAGTCCTCCTCTGGATCCACTCTTCAACTGCTCAGTGCCCTTCTCATGTTAGGGGCCCCAGAATTGGACATAATACTCCAGATGGGGTCACACAAGAGTACAGTAGAGGGGCAGAATCACCTCCCTCAACCTGCTGGTCTTGCTTCTCTTGATGCAACCCAGGAAATGGTTGGCTTTCTGGGCTGTGAGCACACATTGTCATCTCATGTTGAGTCTTTCATCAACTGACACCCCCAAATCCTTCTCCTCGGGCTTCTCTCAAGCCATTCTCTGCCTAACCTGCCGTATCTGTGCTTGGGATTGCCCCGACTCAGGTGCAGGACCTTGCACTTGTCCTTGTTGAACTTCACAAGGTTCACATGGACATTGAACCTGTCCAGGTCCATCTGGATGACATCCCTTCCCTCTAGCATGTCAGCTGCACCACTCAGCTTGGTGTCATTTGCAAACTTGCTGAAGGTGCACTCAATCCCACTGTCCATGTTGCCTACAAAGATGTTAAATAGCAACAATCCGTGAGGAATGCCACTCATTACCAGTCTCTTGTTTCAGTAAACGTCACTTGGACATTGAGCCATTGACCACAACTCTCTGGGTGCAACCATCCAGTTCCTTACCCAGTGAGTGGTCCATCCATCGAATCCATTTTTCTCCAATTTGGTGACCTGGAGATTGTGCAGGACAGGGCCCATGTTTTGCATGTCTTTGTTTTCTCTATAAGCATCCGGATCTTAATTACATACTTACTGCTTCAAGTTTTTGCATGTCAAAGCAGATTTATTGCAAATATATTAAAAAGCTCAGTTTATTAAATCAAAAATCTTTAGGTCAACCAACTGAACATTCAAATACTCCCGTAGGACCATAGTACCCTGCTGCAAGCTCCTGGTCTTGCAGTCCTTTAATCCACCAGAGAGGAGCTAAAGCCACAGCAGCTTTAGTGAAAACATTGAATTTGTGCTCTTGAAGCGTCTCCTTAGCAACGTTATCACCCCAAACAGATGGCAAATAGAGCAGCCTGTACATATCGGTGCAGCTGTTTTGTTCTTCTAATTCAGGAAACCAAGCTTTTCATTGATAAATTCCTTATTACACTTCCAAATTTGTTTTCATACCTTCAGCAGCATATTTTTTTTAAATGTTTTTATTCCAAGATGCAATTGTGCAATGAACATCAGTTTTCCACTTGTGTCAGGTTTCACTTCATGCTTTACCTTTCTTTTAAATTATCATTTTGCATTTAAATACATCTGGATCATCAAATCTTTAACTCAACCCAAGCGAACAGGGAATCACATGTTTTTCCTTGTTTGCAAAAGCAGGTAACTGAGCATCATTAGAGTCATTGTCAGTGTGAACTGCCTACCTTAAGAATACTATGTCTGTGTATTCAGTGTATAGATTAAAAATTGAAAATAAAGGTGAATGGGGTTTGTCAAGTTTGTCTTGCCCACTTCTCTTCTCAGTGGCAAATTTGTATTTTTGCCATATGTAAATGTTGTTTACCTGCTCTTAGAACATCTGCTGAGAGATATTTTATGGTATTTCCAGGCATCTGTTCCAGCACTTAAATTTCATTTACCAGTAGAATGCTATTTCTGATATTCAGTATAAATAGCTTTTGCTGCAATTAAAAAAAAAAAATAAATAAAAGTGCTTTTGACCACCCACAGTGGAAATCCATTTCCTCCTTATAGCCTTCTCTTACATTTTTTAAGGCGGCTAATAACATTTCTGTCTTCTCCACGTAACCACATATCCTTTGAATCTTCTATAACAGCTATACTTTATTTAGCCCTCTGACCATTTCCATTGTTTTTCCTCTGGACACCCTTTAGCTGGTCTGCAGTATCTCTGAATGGAGGAATCCCAGCCTGAGCACTATGTTCCATCCACAGCCTGATCAGTGCCAAGCAGAGCAGAAAAGTAATTTCCTGTGTCTAACAATCTGTGCTGCTGTTTATATGTAGTCTGGCTTCTTTCTTACAGCAGGGTATAATTGACTGGTCTCCTCAGATCCTTTTCTCAGTGGTGCTGCCCAGTCAATCAACATATATTTATGCAGTTGGCTATTCAAAAGCGCAAAATGTCACAGCTGCTGTCACTGAACTGCTGTATCTGAAGTCCAATTCTTCCTGGGGCATCTCTGATTTTCCATTAGTTTTTTTTTTTTTTTAATTCTACTTTTCAGTGTCCTTGCAGATTATCACAATGTCAGGAGATCTAATGAGCTTAAATACTTTCTTTTTTTTTTTTTTTTTTTTTTTCATCCAATGGAAATATTGAAGAGCATTGGACTTGGGACAAATCCTCACTAAATGAATTGTTCCTGTCTAAAAGTGGTAACTATACTGTTTATGCAAGAAAGCATTTGATGCACCAGATAGCAACTTCTTCTAGCCTGTGTCATAACACATGACTGAGTCAAAAATATCACTGAACACTCAGAATTCCTTTTTTTTTTTTTTTTCTTCATCCCTTTTTTTCCTTTCCCCTGAAGGCAAGCTTGAAGCTTCCTGTGATAACCTACAGCACACTTCAGTACCTTTAATACAGCCTACTGTGTACATAGAAGACAGAGATCCCATCCCTGAAGAACAGGTAAAAAAAGTAGGATCATTCAAATTAAAAATTGGGCTTTGTTCCTTTTTCAGTTGCTTGTGCAGTGACCTTCTTGTCTTGTCAAAGCAAGCCAGGTTGGTATCGGGAGCTATTTCATAAGGGGACTTGTAAAAGAAAGGAAAAAAATTGATATATTTTCCTTCTGCTGTGTTTCATGGGAAGGTATTCCCCATTCTTGGGGAATACTTGTAGATGAAAGTAAGTCTTAGGTGGCTGCAATGATGTTAACTTTGCATTGAGTGGAGTTAAGAATGTCAGATGCACTGGCTCTGCTCAAACTAGGCTCCATCCTTCCACTGTGGTTGACTTGCGTTGAGATCACTTGATCATGCATTAGCTTCTAGAATAGGGTCTACACTGAAAGTGAAAAATATAAAATATTTCTTTTCTTTATTCAGGAATTGGAAGCCTATGTTGATTATTCTGATATGGACAATGAATATAACAGGGAAGCTTTTGACTGCTTTTCCCAGGAAGAGAGAGAGAGACAAAAACGAGAGAGAGAGGAATCTAAAAGGGTGTTGCAAGAATTGAAATCTGTACTGGGATTTAAAGCTTCAGAAGCAGAAAGGCAGAAATGGAAACAACTCCTATTCAGTGACCATGGTAAGCACTGCTTTTGAAAATTACTCCCTTTCTCAGAAAGAGTAAATGTCCATTTACCATCAAGTTTCTGACTGCCATAGAATTTAAATAGTGCTCGAAGATGGCAGTGTCTTTGACAATACTGTGTGACTTCATTTTTTTTTATTCCATCTCTTTAAATTTTTATAGCAATCATTTGGCTCCAAACAAGAATATTGAGCCAAAGTATTAAGTGCACAAACTATGAAGCATGGCATAAAGAGGACTGTCAGGCTATAATCCTTGCAAAATACACTGACTTTCTTTCATTGCTTTCTCATAAATATGAATTTTAATCGGGGTTCATAAATATTTTTTGGAATTTAAAGAAACTGTCAGAATTTATCACAGCCAAACAAAAATTGAGAGATTAAAGTGAAGAAATAATTAAAGATTCATAACAGACTAAGACAGGCTTTTGTTTCTGTGAGAGAGGAAGCACACAGAATGTATTTTAAAAAAAAAAAAACAAAAACAAAAACAAAAAAGCCTAAGAGGGAGGAGTTGTTTCAAACTTCCCTTTACTAATTCTGGGGACTGCTTGTAGCTGTAGCCACTTGAACCTGAAAGCAAGAGTATGAAAATTTACTTTGCCTCAGCAAGACAATCTCAGTTCCTCTGAGTCTGGATACAGCTTGGCTGCTTCTGCTGCTTGAGCTGTTTGATTTATTATCTTTAATATAATGAGTGAGTGTTTTATATAACGAGGGAGTGATTTGTATTTTCTTCTTTCCTTTCGTTTTCCCATTTTCATTCCTTCCTCTTCAGGATGGGTTAGGAGGAGCCCTCTGAAAATTGTCATACTCTAGCTTAAGAAAAACAACCCTCAAGTTTGGCAGCATATTCAGAATCCAAGGATTCTGCCACTGCAGTTTTTGCCAGAAAAAAGCCAGCCATCGATTGCATCTCTCAATAATTTAGTGGAAACACACAGTACCATATGTATTTATGAGACGGTTTCTATTGATATCAAACCCACAAAAATACCTGAGCATCACAACTTTTTTTTGTTATGTCCACTTAGCTATAACTATGCTAAAGACAACCTCCCAGCTGTTGGTATTGGCTGCTCTTCTCTTCTAGATGAGTTAAAAAGCAAAGATATCAAATTGCATCAGAGACTACTCACGAGTAGGATTTCTGTATTATCCTTCTGATGTTAGATGGGATACCACGCAACTTCCCAAAGGAAGCAGAAGGGAGAAAATCCTACCCTCACTTCAAGTCTTCATGAATATAGTGACTGTTACAGAAAGACTTCTTTGTCAAGGAAGCTTGCATAGGAAATTTCCTTACCTAAGCTAGCAGCTGATGCCTATCCACATTAGTATCTCTTTAGGTCATTTGTGGTTATAGCTTTATAGAAATCAATGGACTGGCTTAGCTGAACAGCTGTAACAGCTGCAGGAGGAGTCAGCTAACTCCTGTAATCTTGAGTAACCATTCCATTGTAAGCCTTTGTGGCTCATGCTAGTTCCTTTCCTTTTCACATAGAGATATTACTTTTTTTTTTTTTTTTTTTTTTTTTAGGATTAGAAAGTCTATAATGGGAAGTGAAGAAAGTGTCATTTCTTTCATCTGCTCAGGACTTATCACAGATTCCTTCTAAACAGTACAAAAGTTGAATATATGAGGATGGTTTATAAAAATAATTAATATGGTCTCCTTTTAGCTCTGAAACTAATATGCAATTGTTTTGGGGTGAAAAAAAAGACCCTGAGAGATGCTGAGGCTTTAATCAAGGCACATAGCAAGCCATTTAATAAGGTTTTTGGTTCACTGATGGGAGAGGCTGGTTTCTACATAAAAGAGGTCAGCTTCCAGCACATTGATATGCCCAAAGAGCACAACACATGGTCAGCTACTCAGTAATTGAAATGAGTCTGGTCCAGTGCTCCTTCAGTATATGAATTTTTAAAACAAACAATAGAATACAAATTCTAATCTATAGCCTTTGCGTGCTAGTGAAAGTAATTATCCATGTGACAATTGTAGTGATACGCCTACCTTCAACTAGCTAAAATAAATGTGACTGCAATAGGATGCAATGGAAAAATCCTAACACCATACGTTTTGTTTCCCATGACAAGTTTCCTTATTTCCCAGAGTTATTTTCATCTCTGCTTACAGGGGTAAAGTCAGAATGGAATTAGAAAGGGAAATGCTACTTGGGAATCTGCTGTTGCCGCTCATTTATGTTCGTGCTGCTACTCTAATGGAGCTACTGCAGTTTAGGGAATCAGTTACTTGGAAATGGACATTGTATCGTTTGTCTTAAAAAAGAGAGACATCTGTTCTTCAAGAAGTGATTGTACCAAGTTATACTAACCCTTAACACTGGGAGGAGAGACTTCCTGGCAAGCATCCCGTTGCTGGCAATGGGACTCGCTGCTGCTACTAACTTCAAGAGAGGCTAAATTAAACCACACTTAATTTGTGAGGACATCTTACCTGGCTGTATGAATACGTGTTGTGTTTGTATGTTGTGATGTGAGATCAGACATTGCGTGTAAGGACTTTTTTTCTGTACCAGCTGTCTTTATTGGATTAGGTAAACCATTGTCTAAAACAAAGACAGTTCAAATCTGTATCCAGTGCAGAAGTTTTACCTGTTTTTAACTTGATCATGGAATGCATCATCCACATTCGATTCCATTGTTAAAAATCAGTTTTCTGCCATCTTTCTATATCAAACATTTTAAAACTTAGTTCTAAGGAGCAGTTATCACATTTCATTTCACTTCTGTGGCTAGAAAACACCAATTTGTTTTAGGTTTTCTTTGATTTATTTTCTTTGTTGTTGTTGGTTGTCGTTGTTATTGTTTGGTTTGGTTTGGTTTTTAATCCATTTTGACACTTCCAATCTTGCATCTTTTCAGACACAAATATTATTTGTACATAGCAGCTTGCTTTCAGTTATCAATTCATTTTTTCCCCTTTTTAAGCTGCAGTGAAACCCTTGTCTCCTGTAGAGTCATTGAAGCTCCTAAATAATTTGGAATCACACATGAATTCAAATACAGAAAAGCAGGACTGCAGCCAAAGTTGTGATAAATCTGAAGAAAGCGACTCTAATTCAGAAGTGAATGCTGCTGATAAAAGCAGGACAGAATATTTGTATGAAGATCCTGAGATGGAGAGAAACAAAGACAGTCCTACTGAAGGTGTTTCTACAGAGGCTGAAGAGACAATGTGCTATCAGTATGAAGGGGAAGTTGAAGATCTCAAGCCAAGCGATACGGATAGAGTAGAAGTTTCACAGCCTCCCTCTGTGGATGCACTGCATTCAAAAATAAAGCATAGGCTGGCTCAGCTTCACATATCAACAGATTTTAACTTCACATCCGGTCTGGCTGCACAAGCTGCTGCCAGGTCTTTCTCTTTTACTACAATGCAGGAACAGACTTTTGGAGATGATGATGAGGATGAAGAGGAGGAGAAGGAGGAAGGGAAGGGGCAAGAACATGAAGACCTGATGGAAGATTTTAGGTATGAAGGTGGTGGCTCTGAGAGTGAAGGAGAAGTACAAGCCTGATCTGAACTTTTAAAAACCAACAACAGACAATTTGGTAGGAAAAAAGAAAAACAAAAAAAACTAACGTGGGGGTCTGAAGTTAAAAATGCTGAATGGAGAAAAACAAAAAAATAAAATAAAAAAAAAATTGGGAGACCTAAATGTAATACGTCTTGTTCCCTAAGTCTGAGACACTAAATGGGACTCCTGAGTATGTGGAAAATTTGCAGGTAAGACAACTTTAAGCTGCAACCACTAAGCAGTCGGCTGTTGCCTTTTTAAGATCTTAGTGATGAGTTTTGGAATTACCTTCGTGTTTTCTGGTTTATTTATTTATATCATGAAGTGCTGTTGTTGTTTTTCTAAAAAGAATGAAAAACAATGTATTGAATTACATCAGACTGTCTTCTGCTTTCTGATTTTGTTGTCTTGAAATCAAACGTTAGTTCCAATAAAAAAAAAAAAAAACAGGGCATTTGTTTTGGAAGAATCTGAACTGTTCCCTGTGATCTTCCTCCACCACTGCTTGTGTCCACAGTGAGTTGGCTGAGCCACCGTAGACACTGGTGAATCTGTGGCTTGTGATGCTCCTGGCTAAAACAGAGTCTTAAGTAAAAACTTGAAAGGTCTTGTATTTTATGTGTCCTGGGGCATGGGACTGAAATGCATGAAGTTGGTCGTACTTCATGTTAAGGTTTATATAGAATTTTATGAAAGGTTAATAAATGATTCATAAATGTTGTACTTCATGTTAGAGAAATGTGTGGTACGCGTTAGGGAGGGTTTTGAGCTAATCAATATAAGGTACTATAGACAAGTAGAAGCAATTTGTTGGGTTGATAATAGGTGAGAATTAAATAGCTATTTAGTAAAGCTATTAATCCTTTGTTAACCTTTTATAAATTGAGCCTTAATATAATGTTTGATTTGTATATTACTGTTTGTCCAGAAGCAAAATTATCGGACAACTTATACAGTATTTTCCTTAAATGATGTATTTGCTTTTCCCTAATGTTCTTTCATTTTTCTCTTAGAGAACGACTATAATCTCTGTGATTAAGATCCATGATAGATCAGGAATTACCTGTTTTCTAAGGTCTATCTTATAATTTAGTTGACATCTAAGCGTCACTGTCCACTTACATGTTGTGCTAAGGGATGTGGTTTAGTGGGGAAGTATTGGTGGTACATGGATGGTTGGACTTGGATGATCTTGGAGGTCTTTTCCAGCCTTGGTGATTCTATTTGAGATTATGTATGTTGTTTTTTCTGCAGTGGTGTTAGGAAAAGCAGCAAGCTGATATGGCAGTGGTCACCTCACTGAGGAGCTGGTTAATGGTTTTCCTGCCTTCTCTTCCTTTTGCTCTCAGATACAAAATGAAGCGAAGGACTCATGTCTCGGATGGTGAGAGAACAGCCTCTTAGTGTGGATGTGGATAAACTTGCAGTCACAGAATGCCTCAGCAGTTACTTATTAACTGTCTCTTAAGGCTTGCTGATTTTTTTAGAATAGAGGGTGTGGAGATGCTAGTGGTTCAGAGCAGTATCTTTCCCTGGGTGCTGTCTTGAGAAGTGGGGAAGCTAACGAAGGTTAGCAGGTTAGGATGGGACTCTTGATCATATGTCAGGAAATGTGCTTTCTTTCAACCACACTCTCCACCTGCTAGTAATTTTGTGTGATTGCTGCAAGTATGTATGTTTTATCCACAGTTCTTATAGAGTTGGATATCAATTTATAGAGAAGGCTGTATGTGATTTAAGCTATTCTTTCACAATATAATGTCTGTCTTCTCCCTCACAGACAAAAAAGAATGTTTTGACGTACTTCACTAACCAGTAACACTGGATTTTGTATTCCTAATTATGTGCAACTGGGAGCTGAGTGGAGTGGTTGGGTGACTGGAGGTGGGAATGGGATTAGGGAAGATGCTTCTCAAAGTACATCCAGAAGCCAAGCCTCCTCTAAGTGGCAGGATGTATTCTTCTCTAGGCCCATAAAGGTTACAATAAGTTGATGAAAGACTATTTTATTTTCTCTGTGGTAAGCAATCGAGTCTAGAACAACTGTTTTGGATAAGTGGTGTTTGAAGCAATGCCCATGCTTCTGAAAAATAAGTCTTCCTCATCCTTGACTTGAGATCCTTGATCCTTCACTAAGTGCCCGGATGTTTTTTGTTCCTAGCTAATTGTTCTGACTGCCCAACTGTATGTTCCATTAATGCTTTCCCACAAGGTCACCTACCAATATCTTATTATCTGGTACTGTGTATCCCAAAACTGATTCTTTTTTCACCTAAACTTAGTTCACAGTGTAGATGGCTGTGATACCAACCTGGAAAAATAATCAAATTTAGAATATGAGTTATAACTCTTTTCACAGTTTTGGGTGAAATCAGTAGGCACATGAGTTCTTTGCAATGCTACTAAAATAGATTTCAGATTTTACATCTGTAAGAGATGCTAGTTCTTCATTCCTTTGCTACAGTCCTTAGCAAAAGAAGGAAAACAGACCTTGCCAGCTCATTTGGGACCTAGCTTAAAAATATGCTGGTCTTGGTAATGAAACTGGCCTCCTAAGAAACCCCATCTGCCATTAGTTGTTCACTTTCACCCATCAAATGGGTTCAGCACAAGTTTTTGTGCCTGTGTTATTAATCAGCCTACTTAGTCAACCTGCTCCAAAAAACCGAACCTTTTTAGAGTTCACTTTTACGTCTCTTATTCCAATGATGCAATTTACAGCACTGACCCCCAAACTGCTGTATTGGCATATACTGTGTTACTTGCAAGAGGCTCAGGATTGTTCACATTTATGTTACTGGCAGAGACTATGTACTGTGAAATTACACTTCAATGTTAGAGATGAGTATGCTGAAAGTATGGCCTTTTGGAGCAACCTCTGATTTTTACTTGGATGGATATATTTTCTGCAAGAAAATTAATTGATTTGTACTCTTACTTAGTACAGTCTTAGAAGTTGTATAAATGAACGTCTGTGCTCACTTGCTTTCTCTCCCCATAATCACATTATATGTAACTGCCATCAGGTCATTTATTTTAATTTACTGAATATACTCCCTGCATAAAAATTTGGCTAACAGTCCACAGCTTGCAAAGCATAGCTTCCTTTTATTTCATAACTAGGTTCTGTCTACATATAGTCTGTTACGATCCAGAGTCCCTCATGATAATGTCATCTGACAGGACTGTGTGTACATGCTGTAGATTCCTTTAAGAACCTGACAGATTCTTTTTCTGCATTTAAAATAATGTGTAAACACACTGAACCATGTATTAGAGCTAAAGAGTTGTGTTAATATATTGAGCGTGTCAAGGTCTAAGTGCTGTTCCGTGTTCTTTGGCTCATGAGCGTAGGTAGGGATTTTTGTAAAAACAGAACATTTATTTCTTAGTGCTTTGTAACTTTTTGAAATACGTTAATCAGGAAATCCACGCTAAGTAATGAAGCAAGCCAAAGGGTATCGCAGCCAAAATTCTTTGTGAAGAGCAGATCTAACAATAACTGTATTCCATTCCCAGTTAGGAGCTTTGTGAAGTTGGAAAGAAACAAGCAATGGCATAGAATTAAATAATTTCTTTTCTTCCTATCTATCTGGAAGGCATTCCAAAGATGGTATTTGCTTCTTAGGTTGGATTTCAATCTACGACTACATCTTTGCTGTAGCATAACTTTACAGCTAAAGATACAGGTAGGAGGTAAAGACTTAAATGGGGACAAAGATCTATAATAATGACAGCAGTGGTTCTCTTTTTTTTTAGTGTATATCTTTGTGACATAAAAATAACTAATGTAATGGAAACATATATTGAGAATTACAGACGATACAGACTCTTTCAGATGGAGTGGAATGTGCCCGTGTCAATTGTAAGCAAGACTGGCAAAGGTGAGAGGTCTTCTGGTTGCACTAACAAGGCAGTTTTACTCCTGACAGAGGGTTTCTAGATATCACTGAGCCTTGCATTTTGTTACAAAACCTCAAGACGACATTTGGAAGGGTGGCCATTTTTAATGACATTTCAGACTTTGCCCTGAATGCATTTATGTTTACAGCACTGGAAATTTTATGTGCATCTGAACAGCAGAATTTGCAATCTTCTTACTAATCTCTCTGCTCATTTAAAAAATAAGAATAAACGGTGGACTATATAGAGTTGGTGGCCTACGCTGAACTTTGTAATCTTGTTGTCTGCCTTCTTTTTCAAACAGGAACAAGGGCTGAAGTATACTAAGCTTTTAAAGTGTTTAGTGAAGGGCTGCTCTGCAAGTGGCTTGTTCCCATGGTTAACTACTCTTTAGAATGAAGAATTGTTTTCATAAGACAAAAGGGTTTTTTTGTAGTGTCTTATCTGAAAAAAATGAGCGGAGTAAGAGAAAGGCACTTGGTCAGTGCAGAGGGTTGGGCCACTCTCATATCTCATCTGTGGCAGGGACTAATAGCAGATGGCTGAGAGAAGGGTACGAAGAAGGAAGAAGGGAGCTTCTAGTGGTGAGCTGCTTCTCAGGGAGTTGTTGAGCCAGTGGAGGTAGCTGTCAGCTTAACAGCTCACGATGGAATTTTCTTCCAAACAATTGAACAAATTTGCTCAGACTCACATTTGGTTGATTATTACTAGTTCCAATGCCACTATGTGCTCATCTTTTTATGGTCTTCCATGAGCTAGATTTGTCAGTATTATGTTTGTTTGTTTGTTTTTTAATTGAGCAAGCCCACTTATGTTGGCTCATCCACAGAGGTCACGTTTTCCACATTTTGATTGCTTTCCTTAGAAATCTGTCCTGTGCTTTGATGTATAATGGCCAAAGTTTGCTGCAGTGCTCCAGATGTAACCTCAGCAGTGCTGAGTATGGAGTAAAAATCACCTCCCATAAAACCCAGAACCATTAAAGTAGTTCTGAGTCCGTCTAGGAACAAAAGATCTTCTCAGATCTTTTATCACTAGATACTGTGATGATAAATGAAAATATTTGGTCTGATGGAGGAGAAATATTTATTCACTCTCAGCAGGATTTGGTTGGACAGCGTTTTTCTTTGCTAACAAAACAAGGAGTTGTTAAATCAAAATGGTCTTTCAACAGCTGCCACCTGGTCTAACAAAAACTAAAGATGCCAAACAACACTTGTTTAAATCCCAACACTTGTTTAAATAGGTCTGATTTTTCAGACCTATTCTGATCTCTGTTGAGTAGGCATGTATCACAGAATACATTATCACACAAAAATGTGACGGAGAATATGTAGGTATCTGAGATCAAGCTGAAGGCTTCTGGCTCATTTGCAAACTGCTTGGAGGTGTGCTTTATTCTCATTACATTTAATTCTTTAAACTGTGTGCTTTTATTCTACCACCTTGAATTCTAAATGCCAAAAAAATGTGTAATTTGATGTATTTGACTTGAAATTTTGTGCACTAACCAGGTAAGGGGTAATGGAACTGTGATGATAAGGCATGACCGTAGGTAGGGTTTAATCTGCCTTCCATGAATTTTTTCTGTGTGTACAGATAAAACAATACAGTTTGAGCTACAGCTACTCAGTATGTAACTGTTTTGGATTGTCTGCCTAACCTGTCACACTGCCAACTCTTAAGTCATTGGCAGGTTTGTAGGAATAAAATTTGATCCAACAGCTTACATGCTCTGTTAGCCCATTTCACACTTTATGAAATTACTCCAGGATTTTGGAGCAGTGACTGTAATTTAGAAGAAGAAAAGGGTTGTTACTCCGTTACAAAGTGGCTTATTTTAAAAGGGTTGAATTGGACCAAAACATGAATACTTTCATGCAATCAGCATATTTTGACCTTTATACCTGCTCAGATTTAAATTTCACAGGCTTCACAGACAATCTGCTCTAGGGGATGCTGTTCTATGACTGTTTAAACCAATCTAAGCCCAGGCTGCCATGGTGATCTCAGTGCCTCCTTTAGTCTGGCTTTTGCAACCACTCAGAGATCTGGGAGCCCGGCCTGGCTGAAAATGCACTGCAGCTTTAGCTTTTAGTATGGCTGGATCTCTCAGCTAATTTACTGTGTGGTTGAAGGAGCACCAGTAGCATCTCAGGGGAGCTGGAAGGAATACATGCCTTGGCAATGAGGAGGAATGTTGTAGCTCGAATTTAAATCAATGTTCACGTGCCACAGATTGCATCATTAGTGTCAGTGCTGAGGTGGGAAAAACTCAACTCCTTGTGTTACTTCATCTCCATCAGAGGGCTGGAACAGCTCTCCTGTGAAGAAAGGTTGAAGGAACTGGGCTTGTTTAGCTTAGAGAAGGGAAGGCTCTGGGGAGACCTCACTGTGGCCTTCCAGTACTTGAAGGGAGAGTATAAACAGGAGGGGGAATGGCTGTTTACATGGCTGGATAGTGGTAGGATAAGGGGGAATGGTTTTAAACTGAGACAGGGGAGATTTAGGTTAGATTTTAGGAGGAGGTTTTTCACACAGAGGGTGGTGATGCACTGGCACAGGTTGCCCAAGGAGGCTGTGGATGCCCCATCCCTGGAGGCATTCAAGGCCAGGCTGGATGTGGCTCTGGGCAGCCTGGTCTGCTGGTTGGCAACCCTGCATATAGCAGGGGATTGAAACCAGATGATTATTGTGGTCCTTTGCAACCCAGGCCATTCTGTGATTCTGTGATTACGACTAGATCCAGAAGTGCATGCTGACTTTCCCAGCTGACTTGAGAAATGAAACAGAAGATGGACACCCTAATGGGGAGTACTACAGTCAAAACAGCAATAATGGTATATAGCAAAGTCAGTATACACTGAAAGGCATATGTAATCCTGCCTTGCTGAAAAACACCAGGCTGTGTTATGGAAATAATGGTGATTTTAATACAAGGTCCCAAAATAACTGTCATTAGTCAACTTGACCTGTGCACAAATCTTAATATTTAAAGACTGCTTCCTGACCTTCTCCAGCTGCACAGATAAGAAATGAAAACAATCTCAAATTTCCAAATAGAGAGTGACCAGTACTTTCCATTAGTTTGTGCTACTAAAAAGACATCCATTCTTACATAAATGAAAAGAAAAAAAGAGTTAGTGCTTAATATAATTCTTCAGTAGTCTTTATTAACAGTCATGCATTTGATCTCGATAGAAGCAGCATAAATTAGGATTGTTTATAATATTTGATGTGTGTTTCTAAAAATAATAAAAATAAAAGGCTTTAAATGTAATATGGGATAAAAGCCAGAAGTCTATTAATTGTCCTAGAGATCTTTCATCCAAAGTCACAGGTGGTCAAATTTAAACAAGTTTACGCTGTCATTTTTTGTGCTGCTCGGTATGGCACTGTTCTGAGAGCTTTTAGTATTCCCAAGTGAACGCTCACACAGTCTGCATGCGTGTGCTTGAGGTCTGCAAAGGTTGTGGAGATATGCATACATCATGCAACAGCACTCAGAGAAACCTGTTCAGGAGCAAGAAGCTTCAAAGGCATTTGAGGCTTATTGTCTCTATCTTGCTCTATTTCCATGTCTCATGCAATTCCAAGTTTTCCTTTCTCAGCTTTCGTCTTCATAGACCTTGCAAACCGATGGTATTTTGTTTTGCTTTTCAGTTTCCCACCTTAGTTACTGTTCTATAATGCACCAAGTTGTATATTCTCTGTAGAAACAACCATTAGTCACCATACTTCAAAGCATGGGGCCAAGGCTTGCAAGGGCCAGAGCAGCTCTCCTGGCCTGACCACTTCTGGGAAGAGCTGTGGTGAGATGACAGACTAGGGGCTGAGATGATCCTGCAGCTATCTTTCAAAGTTCCAGCTTTTGCTAGGTGTTTTCTTTCCTCCAGTGGTCCCTCTTAGCAACAACTCTCTTCCATCATTCTGCTACAAACTTTTTAGGAAATTGGCCACTTTTCTGCTTTGTTTGTAAACACGTTGTCCAAACCTGATGACGTGACAGATTAGAAGGAACCCACATGGAAGCACTGCTATGCATTTCTTGTCATAAACTCATAAACTGAAGGATTCTTATAGCTGGTAATTTGTCTGTCCTGACTTTCCTTCCAGGAACCTTCACCTGCATTTCCTGGCCCTCCTGTTCCTTTATGGACTTCAGAGCACTCACTCCTCAATGGTCATAAGATGGTAATGTCTCCCCAGCAAGTCTGATCCTTTAACATGTTCATCACTACATGAACTCTACCTGTTCTTTCCAACAGGAAGGGTGCACAGAATAGGCTGAGTAGGAGTTCCTCTAAATAAACTTGCTTTTTCCTGCAGCAGGGGAGAGAATGTGCTCTCTGTTGCTGTGCCAATGTGCTTTGGCCCCACAGCTGCCTGTCCGGAAGCTCCAGAAGCTCTGAAATCTAAGCAGTTGTTCTTAAACCTTTCCCGCTGCCATAGAGTGTATGTGTTCACAACACAATTGCTACTGAATCTCCTCTGAATCCAAATTGTTCTGAACTTTTATCGAGCAGCGTGAATGGATTGTTTCTAAAGGGGTTTATACACTCTTTGTACGCACGTGTGTACGCACACACACACGCTTCATATAGTACATGTGCATTGCCAGGTATCACACTGACAGTCTCATCTAGCAAAGAAGTCGTATTTTTATGTTATCAAACTTTCAAGTTACTCAGAAGAAAAGCTTAATTCTTGTTTATCTAACGGAAGAGAATTTTCTACCAAGTAGGCTGCATGGAGTTACTTAAAATGCACCCTGCTTTTACACCATTAGTTAGAGAAGCTATTTAACCAAGTTTTCTCTTACCAGGGCTTCGTACCTGAGCTGCTGTGAGTGCCTGTATGCCCATCTGCCCTGCCTTAAGCCTCTAAACAAATACACTTTTCTCAGCATTTCCTGCCTAAGTCTTAGCATTTCCCAAAATAAGGCCTAAGGGCACCCTAGATTTCCAAGAAAACCAAAGGAAAAGAAAGAATCTTGATAAGCTGCTTTTTAATTGGTTAATAAATGAAAGCTAAGCTATAAGAGGAAATGTTTGAAAGAACAAACTGCAACAAGAGACTTCTGGCAGGGCTACAGAGGGAATTCACACATGATACTCTCTGAAGTTCAGACGCTGGAAAGGATCTACAATTCCTTTTCAGTGTGGAGACAGGAAATACTCACCAGACTGGTAGTCTTCAGCAGCTCTTAAAAAAAGAGCTATATTTTAGCTACATTTCATTGCCACAGAAAGATTCCTGCTGTGCTGTTGTATCAAGCTGTATGTAAATCTATCTCCTTTTTATTTTCTTTTTTTTTTTTTTTCTTTTTTTCTTTAAAGCTGAGTACGATGTCAGTCACTTTCCTTAGGCGGCACTGAAAAATCTGGTTTGGCTCCACTGGGGGCCTCTTCTGCACCCAGCCTGCCAGTTGTTGGCATTGCTTTAAGCACAGTGTTGTTCAGATCGGCCTCAAGCAGGCTTAGATAAGCAGTGCTTTAAAGCAGGTGTGAAGCCTATGGGCTGTCCACATTAAGGCTTTGAGAACTAAAACCCTGGATTGGATGCCAGGAGCAGGAGGACATGACCCACTTGTATTCCTGGGCTTCTGCCCTTCCGTTGGGACAGAGGTGCTTGACTGTGAAATTCTCCCCAGTTCTCATCTTTCTCTTTCTCTTGCTTTTCCATTTTATATCATTCCTTTTTTCCCAAGGATATGAAACAGGACCTGAGGTCCTTTGCCAGTTTTAGAAAGCATTTTCTCAATTGTAATTTTAATCATTGTGAAAGTACTTTGTGTTTCTATTATTTCTTCAGGGTCTGTAATAAAAGTCTGCTTCACTATTGCATGTGTGACCCTTTCTCCTTATCTCATATCCCTGACAGCTGTCTAGGTGGCATGAGTACTGTTTACCTATCCTTCAGTAAGTAATGATTGAATGGAAGAGGGAATGCTTTTACAGCATCGCTGCATAAATGCTGTATCAGCGCTGTTGTTCAGTCTCTTATGCAGAAGCTTCTTTATAATTTCACTTTCATCCTGAAGATGAAATTCATTTTAAGCGATCTTGGCTATAGTTAATTCCTGCAGTGTATTTTGCTGGCTCGTTAGTACGAGCACTTTAGTAATGAGCACTGGTTACTCCTGCTTGTGTAAGTGCTGACTGAGGAAAGAATGTTTTTCTGGGTGTCCTATGCTTCTGGCTGCACTTTCTCATAATCTTTCAGAGACCCATATGCTGTGCAACCATGTGGTGATTATTACCAGAATCCCTTTTAGCATTACGTAAGTGGCTCTGTGCATGGGGCTTTAGGAATAGAATAACAGAAGACCAATAGCAGGTAGATCTTTAACCTAGGAACTGGGCTTAGATGTCCTGCAGGAGATACTTTTTCTCATCGTCTATTTGTATGTTTCCTAAGAAACAGACTTTTTCTGTATGCTCCAGAAGTGCCAAACTAGTGGCAACAGACTGACTCCTCTTAGCCACAACATCGTGGCTCACTCATAACGCTTAGACTTGAAAGTAGAACAGGTTGCCCGGAGAAGTGGTGGAGTCTCCTTCTATGGAGATATTCAAGACCAGCCTGGACGCCCACCTGTGCAACCTATTGTAGGGAACCTGCTTTAGCAGGGGATTGGACTCGATGATCTCTTGAGATTCCTTCCAGCCCCTGTGATTCTGTGTGGTTTATGAACAGAACAAATGCTTGTAGGTTCTCCTGGTGTTAGGAGCTACGCTGCACATCTATTCCTGTAAGTCCTCCCTGTACTGGCTCTGAGGTTAAGGACCGCTCTTCCCACTGGTATGACTCACCCTCACCTAATTCATGTCCCCAGGAAGGAATCTGTAGAGATGATCAGGGAAGAAGGCAAGGAGTTTGACCTTGAAAGGCAAGGGGATGCTTAGTGAGGCAGGACTATCTATTCTTACATGTTTAATATTGATGCTTAATTGGTGCGTGACTTGGTAGTACAAAAGGTCTTGCTTATTCTCTGCTGTTTCCTGCTTTGTTTGTTTGTTTTCACATGCAATACTGAACAGATCCAATTGCTGCTGTTAGAAGAAGCTGTCTACCAAGAGGACTCCACAGTGTTTTTCTTGGAGATTTTTTGAATGCTTGCCTCTGTGTGTTCTTCATAATTGTACCATATGCAAATATTCTTCAGGAATTGATATGACCACTTCAGATAGTCAATATTTTCTATGTAAGAACTGTACGTTTCCTATACTGCCACGAATGTATATATATCTATGAAGACTTAAGATTGTATCTTTTTGAGTATGCCTCTTTTCTTCAACCACCTGGAACTTTCTTCCTGTTCTCCAGTTCTCTGCTGATTTATTAGACACTTGTGTTATATTGTGTACTATTTTGTATCAGCTGTACCTCTGTTTCTCCTTTCGCTCATTAAAACCTGTTCTTCTCATCCTTTTTCTGTCTGCTTCATATTGGAAATATTTGTATTGTTTCAGGTGACCTGGTCTCCTCTACTGGTACTGGCTAGGCTTGAGCCAGATCAGCCTTAAAAAAGCCAGTCATCCAGATCTCCATCACATTGTTCCACTGATCCCAACATGTAATTACTGTCACCACTAGTGTACTGTATTAAGCTTCCCTACGGTTGTTTTGCAGCCCATGCTTTTAGAAGATGGAAAAGAAGGAACTTATAGTGGACTGCTTATAGGGTAAACAAATGGGCAATACACAAAAAATGTACTGAGAGATGAAGCGTGTCAAGTCTCATTGCTGGTAGGTTCTGATGGTGTAAGTCAGCAAAGATGTGGTCTTGGAGTGAAGCAAGATTTGAAGAGAATGAGAGAGGAATCTAAGGGCACTCTGTTTCTAGAAATGTGGCCTTCAGCTTAAGCCAGTCGGTTCTCTGTTCTGTCTCCATGCCTAACTCATCTTCCAGGCATACAAAGAAGAAAAATGAAGCAAGTGAAATCAGGGTCTGTTTGCTTACTTCCAGTAGAGAAACAACTGCTTCACAAAGAAGAAAATGCTGTCCAGCAAGAAATAAGTCTGTGAACAGGTAGAGAAATGATACAACTCTCCTTATCCTCCCCATAAAAAGCAGAATCTTCAGTATTTCACTGATAATTCCCTTTTAGCAGTGCAAGATCTTCCTTGTTATGCTGTCCTATTCTCCATATTATTGTTTTCATGGCATGGTATACAGGAAGGAAGAGTCTGAGGCATTGAAATCAAGTAGTTGAACAGAACATGCACATGTACCTACCTATATGCTGAGTATCCGGCAATTTTTGAGGTCAGTATATTGGCTGACAAGAGGGAAAATACCATAAAGCATCCACTCTTGGAGAACCTACTGTTTTGTCTATAATTAGGCACTTAGTGAAGGATGAAATTAATCACCTCTTTAGCACTGTATGAGAGTGTATGGAAACAGCTATGTCACCTCGCCTTGGCTTTTTCTCTGGCTGTTCATCACCTTCTCCTTCATTTAGACTGTTTTTTGTGCCTCCAGTTGCACCTGCTCATGTCCTCACAGCCTGTGCATAAAGGACCCTTGTGGAAGGTCCCAGTGGTGGCATTTGAGGATTTCTTGTCATGGTGCTGTGGTAGCAAGGAGCAGAAACACACACAGAGTAACTGTGCTGGCTGTGTGACAACCTGTGACATCAGTTACACTCAGCTGTAGGTTTCACAAACTCCTGTCTGTGTGACTGCGTGCGCTCACTTGGAAAGCTGCATTTAAGGAAGGTGCCACAGTGGGAAATCTTTAGAAAATTCTTGTGTAGACAAGAATCTGCATATGGGATTTCCCACACCATTGCAGCCTTTCCAGTCATTCAGAGGAGCGTTTGCAAAAACACCCAGCCTAAAGCTAATCTGTTCTGGCTGCAGCTTATCACTGACAGCGAGGGAAAGCACATCATGCCAGTAATATACTGGAAAATGTTGCTGCCGGTTACCTGCCGATTTTGATCCTTGTTTTGTCTACAACACCAGTAATTGATTTCTGTGCACATGAAGCGATAAGCTTCCTTCAGAGAAGAATGGTCTAGCATGTGCTGTTTTCTGATCCTCAATACAAATGAGATGCATTATTTTCTTAACTTAAAAAGCAGTGCACAAAAGGCACAGATTTTCCGTGCCCTGCTATCTGTGACCTAATAGCTAGGAGCAGCTCAGTAAGAGAGTGCACGCTGTGTTGTATGCCATGTGTTCTTCTTTTCCTATCATTGCTGTCAACTGCTTATCAGTTTTTAACAGTACTGCTCATCAGCATCACACCCAGTAAGATGTCTTGGTTAAACGAGTGGTGGAATGTGGGAGCCTTTGCATTCATACCAGGCTCTCTAAAGCTCAGGCCTGATTACTTGTTTGGAGCACCACCAAATTGTAAATAATGATAGGGCTCTCAAAAGCTCCGTAAGAAATACATTGCAGAAGTTGCTGCTATTTCCCTTTTCTGCCCCATTTTCATTTGCTCTTTGGGAACTGTTCTGCAAGAAAGCTAACTGCTGCAGCATGTGCTTTAGCTACTGGGAATGCTCCTCCTGAGCTATGTGCTCAGTGTGCAGATGTGAATTATTTAACCCTCAGCTGCTATTTTTCCAGGTTATGCCTCTAAAGCTTCCGTGCAACTATTACTTAAATGAAGAAGCTCATTGCTGGAAGATATCTGACTAAAGTAATTAATCAGTCTTTTAATAGCAGTTTAATTGTTATGGATAGTGCCAGGAAGTAAATACAACAGCCCTTAAAGCATCTAGGTCTGTCAGATGTAGTACAAAAGAAATGAAGGATGTGCCTAAGACCTTCACCCACATTTTCTTATTTCCTTCTTCCAGTAACTGTCAGGATTGACTCAAAACAGTTCTGCAACTCAGCAGTTATGGGCAGGCAATCTCAACTGCTGAATGACACAGGAAGGATTATACAAGAAGGAGAACTTGTAAGTGCACCAAAAGTACTTTGATGCCAAAACTGCTGTACTTGCTACTTTGGGACACGGTGCTTTTTATTTAAGACATTGAAGAAAAGTGCCAAAGATCTTGGAACAAAGCAATTAAAAATGACGATGGAAAGTAAATACCTGAACCTGAAATCGGCTGGAAGACAGTAACCCATGCGGTAATTGTTTCTTGTCTTAGCTATTTGTTTTTGAAGGTCTTTAGTTGACTTGCTGTACCCACTGAAAATATAGTTGGCAAGGAGTAGCTTTCCTTGAATGTACATCTGCCAAATAAGAGAAGAAAACAATGCAGAATAGGCAAAAACAACCATTTATTCTAAATGAAAACATGAAAACTACGGGTTGAGGAACAAACAAGCAAAGTTCTTAGGAGCTCTGACTCACAACTTTATTATGGCTTAAGTTTTAAGTTTTCAAAACACTGAGGCTAATCCCCGCTGACTGGAGTGCGTAACAGCATTTTGCTTACTGCTTCATGGACCGCCAAAACCCAGCGCTGTCCACTGTTACTATTTCAGTTTAGGTATGGCCAAACATGGCATATTTGAAGATGAGAACAGACAATTAAGTTAGGCATAGGAAAAAGAACACTTTTTTCCCCCTTTTTTCTGTTTTGTGCTAGAACGTCACAATTCTTAGGCAACTCAGATTTGTGGTGCAATTTGCAGTAATAAATAACTGAAAGGAGAATTCCTCATGGATTTTAAAGTGTTTCTGTTGGATTTTGATGTGTTTATTGGGTAGAGTCTTTGATTTTGAGTCCCTGGACTCAAAATAACCAGAGCAAATTAGATAAAAAAACAAGTGCTTCTTCAACATGTTGCAAAGATTGTTCCACACAGCTGTGCGATGTGTGGAATATCCATGTGGATGGTCTCAAAATTAGAGCATGAGGAAAAGCCTGTAAGTTTCAGATATTGTATGAATGGAGGTGAGAGCCTTTTCTGTCAGTGTAGGAATGATGGCATGATGGCCTATTGTCATTGTTGTGGCAGTGGAAAAGGGGCCTTTGTGTAAGTGAAAACTGGCTTCATTGGATTTTAAACAGTAAGGACCATTTAAGCAAACATTCTATCCAAAGCTGCTTGTGTTGTGGGATGTTCCCAGTCTTCCACAGCTGGAAACATCTGGATTATTTCATTGAAGATCTCAGCACGGAGGACAAAGAGTCAAGAATCTTTGAATACTTCAGGATAATCTTGTGGTTTTTTTTCTAACCTTGGTGATTCTGTGTTTGAGTCAATGCAATGAGTATTCACTAGAAGGAAAGCCAGAGAACCACTGAATCGTTTTCGTCTTATGCTATTATTTATTCCTCTGTAATGTAACCAGTACTTAATATGGTGTAGAACACTGCCTTTGCTTGTGGGTGATAGAGAAACAAGTATTTTATATCAATTTTTTTCAGTTTTATAGGCAAAAGTTCTTGCAATAGCCATGTTTTACTGAAACATTTTTCTTTCAGTCCAGTAGTTTGTCTCATAATGAAGAGCTCTCCTTACCTGCACTCACAGCAATGCAGAATTGGAAGGAGTGAACAGTGTATTTCATACCTGCTCACTGTTACACTGTCATATATGTCCTCATTTCTGCATTTCTTTGCTTAAATCAAATGTCGTGAGCTGTGTTTGTATCATAACAAAGCTCTCTTTGG